GTGGCATGTAACCGTGCGCGTAGCGCAGGAGGACTGGAAGGTTGGGCTGCCACCGGGGGACTCGGACCTCCGTTCCAACCAGTAGGGCGCCCTGCACCTACTGGTCCCGACCGTTTTTTGGACGTGCGGCCGGTACAGCACCCTCATGATGGGCATCCACTGCTTGCACCGATATCGGTGCTGGCTCACGGCACTCAGCTGCGCGATGCCCTGGCTTGCGACAACGAAAGTAAAAAATTTGACGCCCGGTGCGAGCATCACCCTTATGGTAAATGACACGTCACCGGTCACCCGACGACTCAATCACGTCGATCTCCATAGGTTCTGGACCAGAAGGCCGGGGAATGTTGACGACCGAGGGTTTGGCATAGTCTTTTGTGACCCTAAAGTCTTCACGGAGTGCGATGGCAAATGCCTCCTCCAATGTGGCAGGCTCGGCGCGCTCCAGCGATAAGCGGGTCTTCCCTTCACGCATACCATCCACAAAGATATTCACTGCTTGTACATGTCCATGGGGTGCGTGATAATACACGACGCGAGATTACTATCCATCTGTACGTAGTCACGCATCGCCATTTTACCCTGTCGCATCCGACAGGAATCTTGATCGCACCAGTTTTTCTTCTTGTGGTGGCTCGAAAGCAAGACGAAGATCGTTCTGGATGGTATCCAAGGTGGGGAATGCGTGCTCGTCCACAACGAGCTTACCAAGGGCCCACTCCTTGGCCTTCCCGGTGAGGCGGGAAAGAAGAAAGTTGACCTTCGCCTGGGTGCCTGGAGAAGTCTCGAGGCGATGGCGATATCAACTTCTCGGAACCACCAATTCAGCGACAACCGGTCCTTGCCTTCTCCAGAGTATAGGGAGGTTTCCATCTTCACGGGCTCATTACGTGAAGAGCGCGAGGGAGTTAAGCCTCGCCGGTTGGATTCGGCGAGCTCGCGTGCCATAAACTCATGTATGGCGAGACGTTGCGCTTTAGAGTCGCTGATCTCATCAGCTACGCGACGAATGCCTCTCCTGATATCGCCGCGAGGCGATTAAGGGCATCCTACTCAACACCAGTGAGATGGGGGAAGGTCGCGTGCTCCAGAAATAAATCTGGAGCGTCAAAGTACGACGATTCGCTCATCCCAAACTCGAGCATAGGAAGGACTACAAAGTGCTACCAGGTGTAACGGGGCTAGAACGTACCTTCACTAGCTCACACGCGCGCTTGAGGAAGACTCAAGCCCAAGTATTAGGTATTAAGTACTTTTTACTCTGATTTTTATTTAAGTCGTACTACTTACGAAGATTTTAGTCGTAATAAATACGACAGTGTTCCCGCCTTTCGGGAACCACACAATTTCAGGTTGATTTATCATTGGTCCATATTGGGGACTTTAGGCCCAATAATAAACCAATAATAAATTACCACGCTGTGCCCGCTATTCGGGCCCAGCACCTGCCTACATATGTAATTGTTTGTTTATGTTAATACTATATGTGTAATGTAGCCCATTACAGAGTACCTCAAATGATGGGGACATATGTTCCATCAACACACTGTGCTCATCACCACTTTGAGGGATGGCAATGGCGTGCTAGAAAGATCCTCATCCGCACAATAGTGGTGCTCTCTGCTGACAAGCTGACATTAGATGTCGGCGTTGTCACAGAGAAACTTAGCGACGGCTGCGAGTTATCGTGGAGCGTACGCTTTGTGCTGGTCTGCATGGAAGCCTTCGCAGACGATCCATCAGCCTTACCACGTTTCGGTGGCATCTTCTTGCTTAGGATGTTTTACAAAAATGTGTAAAACGTTTTAAAGAGGTGGATGGTGTAACGGGACGATGGTTATACGAGTTCATTAAGTATATGATACTTAACGGGTAGGTCTAAAAGGGTACGCGGTACCTTAGACCTACCACTTGGGTAAGGTACATCAATGTGACCCACCCTCGTGAATGTGATATCCATGGATGAATTTGCATTCAACGGGGATGACGCCTAGTTGGGACTAGGCGACATGGTGACGCTTTAAACGGACGTCATCATCGAGCTTAAATATATTTTAAGCTCGCACGTAGGGTCTTGAATTTGCTAAACATTGTCCACTGCGCACGAGAAGCTGAATAATCTTCTGCGTGTCGTAAATGAAGCACTTGTTAGAAGTTCGTTGCGCGGTTCACTTAGACTACCGGCAACGGTTGGTACAGCGCTTCTGAAATGGGGCACCCTCCGACTATACTGATAACAGTATAGTCTACTTTCACTGATCACAGTGAAAGCAGGTGCCTCAATTACCTCTCTTACACAAGAGGCAGAGGAAGCTTTACTTCTAAACGATACGCTTAGAAGTAGAGAAAAAATTGTATTTAATATAGTTAACTATCTAATACAACTAATCTGTTATAACCTATGTTAACTATATTAAACTACAACTATGTATTTTGACAACTTGCCCTCCACTCATTGCGCGCGTCCATCGGTCATTCGTTGGTTGATATGATGGCCCATATCAACCAATGATAGGGCATCTCCAATCTAGGAACAATATTATAAGAGAAGATAATATTGTCAAATATTATTAGTTGTAATAATATTTTTATTGACACTTCATATAAGTGTCAATATTATGTAACGGGCTCACCCCGTTATAGTGGCCATCTCTTTCGCCAACGCGCCACTCACGATCACCCGCATGACATGATGTACACTGTAGCCGAGCTACACAGCTCTTAAGTCATAGGAAGACTTCTTAGGCTGAAAGCCTCTTAGTTCTATAGAATTAGTTAAAAGTTGACGGCTTAAAGCCACTTGGTTCTATGGAACTAATTAAAACGGCTACGAAGTCTACCCGTTCTACGGAACTAGGAGGGACTTTTTTTCTAGTCTACACAGCAATAGCTTAAGGTTCATAGAACCATCGCACAGAGTGCAAGAACAAGCTAGATACTTAGAAACTCAGAGAACCAACGCACGAAGTGACAAGAGAACAAGTTTTGGAAAGATTTGCGATTTTTAACTCAAAATGAAAACTCATTTTATTTATGCATAAATTTCTATGAATAATCCTACACGAAGACCCTACACTAGATTAGTTACTCTTATAGTAATAATAGGATGCCATCGTCTGTTAGTTGGATTTGGAATCACCCACATCAGTGTATGTTGTATTTAGGATATAGTAACAGACCGTCTATTTCAAACATTAAGGATTGGTAAGATGTCTGTAGTGCTTCTACCAGGACTTCGTCATTCTTCGCCTCGCTGGCTCAATCTGCTGGCTCGAGACGTCGGGCGTCACGGGGGACACTCCGAAAAGGGCACGTGGAATCGGGTATCCAGCCCGAGGTGTAAACAGTGGCTCAATGATCGCAACAAGCGCCGGGCACCACACCGATCAGTCCCGATCGACCGCTGATGCACCTGGACGGGGCCGATCAATTCACGTTCTTGGCAAGTTCACTTCGTGGGATCGAGATTCGCGCTCGGCGATCGAGTCGGCGGCTTGAAGGCTGACGTAGAATAGCAGGAATTATCGGGGAAGAAGGGAATGATAACCGCGGTCGTCGATCCTCTCCCCCCGGGGATGACAGGGTTGGTGCTCCCTTTACGGTTCGCACGCTGCGCTTGCCCCCCATAGCGCACGCAGCAGAGGAAAAACCTCCCCCCTCTATATCCTGGGCCTCCCGTTGGAGAAACTTCCCGCCCTGGTCTGAGGGGGCCGGTTGACCGGCTCTTTGGAGGTCTTCGTTTCTTGGCCGTTGTTGCTCGAAGGCGCGAATTGGGAAGTGTGTTGTATTTAGTACTACTGTATCAATTATGAAAGTGATACCGATAGTATAATGTATTACCGATACCATATACGTCTATAATACCCCTTTTTTAATAATATCGGTATTGAGAATACATGATATGCAAGATAGAAACTTCAACCGTAATGTACTTTCGGTATGATGTTACAACCGTCGTGTAACCCCGTTACATGCACCCTCACCATTGCGGCAAATGGGTGCGAATTAAATTTGGTCGTGGGTGTGTGGGTAAGAGTCTTTCATACTTGCTGTTGTGTTTCGTTCGCGCATTCTTGCTTGCTTCCGTGGCATCAACTTGCTACAGCTCATTGAAATGGAATCAAATGTAAGCAATGCATGTCCAGACTTGAGTCAAATCATTAGACAGATGATTCCATCCGAACCTTCTGACGCCAATCGCTGGCTTCCTCAGTAGCATACGTTGATGAATGTGGCTCGGCTTTTCCCGCTCAGTCTCGTCGCCGCTACAGCGTAGAAGGTTGCTGCCAGCTTGCTGGAAAAGTGATAATAGCAGATCCAGGCTGATCCATCAGCGATGTCCAAAGCCTTTGTTGTTGTATTTTGTATCCGTGTAAAAGACATGCATGATAAAGTCCAGACTTACAGGTGCATTACAGTCAACTTCATTGAGACAGCAGTCCATAACTACATGTATTCATACTGCAGCGCTTCAGCAGCATCAACAAGCCATGGAATTGTAAATAGTGATTCAATCATGGGCCTGTTGCCGTGTTTATCCTTGGCGTCATGTGCGCTCGTCTACTGTAATGCTTTCCTTTATCGCAATGTGACGTGACGAAGCAGAGCTCTTTAAATACTCTCTGTCAGGGTAAACGGACATGCTAAAGGTAATAGAACCGAGATTGAAACGTGCAACCGCGACGTGGCATCACGACAGTGGCCCGAAGAAGGTCCTCCTTCATTAGCTGTATTGCGTGACGTTGTCGCAAAGTCATCACCAATGTCCTAGACGCTTCACTCCTCTCGAAGCTTTCGTCATATCATCATTATCATGAACTGCAAATACGTGACGCGACATCTCGTCAAGCCATTTTAAAGTTCCTTGTCACGTTCAATCCCCTCCCCCCCCCCCGCTCTGCCCTTGCTTCGACGTATTCCGTTTCAATAATGCGTACTATTACGATAAAGTAAGTTAAAAGAGAAATGCCACCACGAGGAAGGTGTAATGCAATATATATCTAGACGCTCTGTAGTGATGGGTGACGGATCGGTAGAAGCGCCGTTTTGGTGCGATCGTTCACGCCAGGATATGTGTAGTTGGGCTTGTTGGATGCAACACTGGCAGTGGCACTAGTGCTGCTGCTGCTGCTGCTGTTGTTGTTGTTGTTGTTGTTGGACGTAGACAGATTGGACAGCATTACCTTGAGACTCAAACATCTCAGTGCGTTAATTTCCACCTGAAGCGGCGGTGTCTCGGACGATGACGGATGCAGCAGCTCGCTTATCCGTACGTCACAGTCCTCATTGTGCGTCTGGATCCTCACCGACGGAGTACGCACAGGTAGCGAGAGCTTAGGCAAGCCGTCCTTCATGTCCATGTATCGTGGTGCCTCATCACAAAACGACTGAGGCATCGTAGCCAATAGCTGAAATCGTTCCAAAGGAAAGCCCACATTCTCGTCACTACTGTAGTCAGAGCCAGCGTCCATACTGCAGTCTTCTGCACCAGGGCCCATGGCCGAAAATCGGTCTTCCAGGCTGCAGTCGGTAACATCTGCAGGTCTATTCAGGTCTAACGCCGCAAGGTTCAGTGATCCAAAGTTGCGCTTCATCGTAAAGTGTGCGTCTAATGCTGGAGTGTTTGAATACAAGAGAGAGAAATGGTGTAGAATCAATCCCAAATGCTTTCAACTGACACTCGAGACGGATGGGAATGGATAGAGGAATTCGTTTGAGGCACTTGATTGTACTCGAATTGCTTTCCATTCGACGTGGGAACTTTCCGACTGAGGAGTATGAAGAGGAGCCCCTCATCTGGAGCGAATGGCGACCGCTGGCTTCATATCGGGTCAGTAGAACGAGCGACGGGGCGTCCACTAAACCATGCAAAGAAAACGCATTTGGCTCGGTTTTACTAGCGGCATCGCATGGTGAGGAGCTACAGTGATACAATGATACTGGACAACGTCCCAGTGACAAACAACCGTCTACTGCCCCATTCGTACACACAATCCCTCTCTTGGCAGCTACTAGCAACTTGCTATACATTAGACTAATTATTACATCCACACGGGATGGTTACTCACTACAGCAAGTGTCAGACCTGCGTTGATGGGCCAGACCATTATAATGGCTTCAAACCTACTCAGACGCTGAGGACAGCCACTGGCGTGACTCGAATTCGATCCTTTTTTTGGGTGTGCGTTGCTCGAATGGAATTCTCCTACAGTTGAACTTGAAATACGTTTGCACAACTTCACGGCTGATGATAAACGCATGAAGTCACTGCTCTCTCTCTCTCTCTCTTACGCTTCATATCGCAGCTCAAGATTCAAAACAAGCGTCGAAAAACCGGGCCAGTCCATGAGTATACAGGCGGATTCAATCTGAGTACAAGTAGTTCACTGTCTCTTTGATGAGTGCATCTCAATGTGCACACGCATTAGTCACTGCGACTTGCATTCCAAAACAAGTAGACAGACTGTTTAAAGTGTTTTGACCCGTTTATCCGTTCATTTAGTCGCAAGTGACACCATGGCTACATACATAGTCGACATTTACTTGTATGTGTGGAGCAAGCAGTCAACGAAGCGTATCGTGCGTATATGTAGTTGCATGTTAGACAAAGGATACAGTATTATCAATTATATTAACTATACTTGTCGATGGCGAAGATGAGATTTCGGGGTGATGGTGTCGACGTTGTGTGTTTCGTGCCGTTGGGCTATGACGATCGAAAGGCGTTGTATTAATAACGGTGGGCCTTCTTCGAATTGGAAGGTGCACTCGTAGTGACGAGTCAAGTGACGCTCACCGAGTTGAGGCGGGGTGGCTGAACCCGACTCCACATCCGCGGCAAATCAATGGACAAAATGGCCATTTAGTGAAGCTAACGTTGCTCATGTTGTTGATGATGATACTTGACGACAGCGTCCACATCCGCTCGCAGTCTCTCCAGGTTCGCTGCGCATGCACATAACGAGTATAGAACACAGCCCCAGTCGGGTTGTCAGTCATTCCACGTTAAACAAAAGCACGTGGACGGTTGCAGGTGTCAGCACACCACTACTCAAACCAAACGAGTCAAGCCATTATACGCACCTGGAGCCGTGAAACGGAAGCGGGTCTGGAACAGCGTGTGGCACAGGCAACAACATGACTCACACCCACCGCAGTGCGCGCAGCGGAGTGATGGCACGCATCGACACTTGAAGTAACTGCGCACCGACTGGTACCGGCGCGTGGCCGGCAGCACGCCCGTGTGGCCCTCGGAGCTCAGCATCTTGTCGTAATACGAGGCAATTGCTCGCGGCTTGAAGTGGTGCTGCTCCGGCTGTGAGTGACAGCGCAAACAGATGCGAAAGATCGGATACGCCATGTTGGGACGGCATCGACGCGAGTATACAGAGCAGCCAAGACACTGTTTATACAGATTGGGGATTTCCCGTCTGCAGATTCCGCATGAGTAATTCTCGGCGTCTTGGGCCGGTGGGTCGCGCAGGTCAGCGTCCACAGTACGCCACATAATCTCGTCATCAAATATCTTACGGAACTCGCCACTATCATCGGTGCTTGACAATCCTAGCTCATACGCCTCTTCGACAATTGCATCTAGACACGGTAGAATCGACTCCAAAAAGAGGACCATCTGGGGTTGACGCTGCGCCACTACACCGTGATCAATGGGTGCCGGCGTGGATGTGGAAAATAACAATTGGGACGTGCGTGGACGCCCCGATGCTAGCGCCGAGCGTAAGAACTCACCAGTTCGCACGATTGCTACGCCACACTACGTAACAATCACGGATATTGTCATATCATACAAAACATACCAACGAAAAAGCACAAACAATCACGCACCTTCGCAGCTTCGACAATCGCACGACGAGGGTCAAAGACCCAGCCATCTGAACACATGCTAGCATTCTTCATGGCAAACTAACATAAAAATCAACACCAGTACGAACACATGAGCACAGACAACGCATGACTGAGCAATGAAACGTACCCAGCATTCAGTAGAGATCCCGCGCTGGGATACACCCTGGTAAACCCACTCCCAAGAGAGAAACACACATGGCGCGTCGATGGATTCACTAACGCTATCTTTTTCTACAACACGCCAAAAATGCTGACGGCCCTGAACAATTGGACGCAACAGTGACGACGATTAGCAAGAACAAATACTCGGACACGCATTGCATCTATTATGTAAGAGGGAGCACACCTTGTTGACATGCACAAACTCTCCATCTTGCAAAAGCACGGTGGAGAATGCAAATCCCGCAGAGCTGTATCGTAACAGTAAACATCATTTATCAAACAAGTTAGAGCTGCGGATCTATGCAGACAACCTCGGCAACTAAACGTACCGGAGAGCCCGAAGGTGCGCATCTAATAACATAGTCTTTCGTCTTGCGTCATATCCCGACCGTTGCAAAATGTGATCAAACTTGGCCTTGCATTGTGGCTCGAATCGCTCAAAGATGACCAACTCTAATGACCCCACCAATACCTGTTGGTTGCAAGACAAGTGCAAGCAGCAAAAACGTTTGTTAGCATTCTTACATTCGCATTCATCCTCTGTATAACTCTCACCTGGTACGCGGTATCAGTAGTGCCGTTGCCTGGATCGATCAGGGAACCTCGCGCCCCAGGGAAATTGAGATGTAATCTTGGACTGGAAAACTTGTGGTGCCAACTACTTTGTGGGAGATATTGCAGCAAGCAATGGATACCGCCTGCAAACACGTCCCATTGAAATCCCTTTATAAGGTCATTGTACAGCTGGAATAATTATGCAGGTAAGCACACAAACATGTCAGTCGAGTCTGTTGACTCTGCTGATAGAAAAATGGCAATCATACCTGTGCGCAGTGCTTCGCGAGCACCAAATTATTCAGCGCAATGATATTTTCGGACGCCACAAAAGTAATTGCCTTTTTAGTGACGTGGTCCTCCAGCACGACGATGTCGTTGCCGGGGACACTTGATAAATACTTTTCCAGATACGAGTTGAAGGATGCCATAGACAAGTGCAACTCCCCAACGTAAACCAACTCCGGCATATCTGTCTCAGTGTTTCGCTTAAACTGGAAGTGGTCGAAGGCAAACCGTGTGTCGTTACCGCAACATTCGAGAATGAAAGGCCATGCCCAGATGTACTGGTTAAGCTCGCTACTCATGCCTTTCACAACTAGGCTCACATCAGGTGACTCAAAGCACCGAAAAAAAAGTCGACCTCTGTCTGATAAAGCGTCGTAGCCTTATCAGCGAAAACGGGCGAAAGATCGATCCGGAAGACATGGTTTGCATCGTCAGAGTGGCAACTAAATCGCTCGTAAATGCCCGACGGAAATGCCGACGGATTGCGCCATGGTATGTTAGGTGTGTGGCGTCGCTTTGGGAGCTGCGATGAGGCCTGTGGCGGAAATGGCCCTTGAGAACCGTAGCTGTTTGCATTTGACGGCGGGTCATTTCTAGTACCTGGCGCAAGATGGGAGTCAGTATATGGAGCTGGAGGTGGCGCTGAACTAACTGATGCCCCGCGATAGGGAGATTCGATCACACGTCGAGTTGATACCTCTTTGTCTTGCATTTGCTGTTGAGGTGGCTGCATGCCTGGACCCACCTGAACTGGTGGTATTTGCCTCGAAGAGCGTCCGTCCAAAAACATTGGCCCGGAATTAAACCCCGAAGGCGATTGGAGCACGCGTGAATCATCTTGTGGTGCTTGATGAGGACCTGTAATCGGGTACTCCCCATAGCGTGGTTCCATCCCCTCAGCACTTTGTTGGTCAAGCGCCGGTATTGGAGCATACTTGCCTCGAGTCGGCCGGGATGTCTGCAGTGTAGACGATATAGACACATTGGGCGGTGCACGGTGAAAGTGACTATCCTGCTCTGTGTCAAATCCTCGCACTGGCCGGCGAGAAGATGGAGACACAGCTCGTGGCGATGGCTGCAAATTCCTGTCGTTATCCTCTCGATGCGGCGTATTGTTATTACTATTGCTAGTGAGCTCTGTCATGGTAACCTGTCGTGGATAAGACAAGCCACTTGAACTCTTTAAAGTGGAGACTGGGATGGTTTCTGCATGTTCTTGATCCATTGACGACACATGAGGGTGGCTATACCTGAGTCTCTCGTCAGTATCTGTTAGCAGGGCCCGTTTAATCCCTGCTGTACGTCCTCTACCTCTTCCACGTCCACGTCCCCGTCCACGTCCAGTGTTTCTTACAGGGCTCACATTTTGCAGCAAAAGTTGTCGACGTATTTGCAATCGATCCGACTTTTCTTGCAACACGCTTTGAATCTGCGTTGCAAGTCGAGGATAATCTCCATTCCGAAAGACAAAGCTCTTTGATTGCTGTTGTTTACTAAATGTGGCATAACATGAATGACGGCAAAAGAGATTGACATCCTCAGGTGGAAGTGGTAAACTCGCACAATGGGCATGGAATGGGCTACTGCAGCTTTTGCAACGTACGAGGCGAATCGCCGGATTGGCTGCCAAACCGCAAAGTACACAGCGCACTCGGGACATTCGCTCTTGTTCACTCATATTCTTGCATTCTTCTACCTCGTTATCGTGTGTTAAAGAGTTCTTGGGCGTCAATTGGCGTGACGTTGAAGCGACGATCTCATCATCTGCCATCGCGAGCGTGCCCTGCGTCTGTGTCGCCATTCTGAGTCCTATTGCCAAAAAATGGGACTATTCATTGTGCTAAGTACGATTGGCTAAAAAGAGCTTTTTTTGGACAACTGATACCAAAAATACCATGGATACATCAGGAATGATGGTGCAGTTGATGTACGAAACATCAGCGAGGAAGGTTTCAAGCAACAAGTGGTCTGGTGGCTGATGATGAGCATGTTATTGGTGGAGACATCACAGTCGCAAACGTCGCTTAGAAACGTGTCGTCACCATTCCCTCTTCCTGTGTGTCGTCAACTTGATATGGATACAGAGGGTAACGACGAGACAAGCGATCTTCCGACGGTATATGATCTCATGCAGGAGGTGACACGCCTGCAGCAAAGGGTGCGCGACATTGGCGACAACGATCTCAGCATTTTTGTGGATGAATGCGATGCAAACGACGACTCTTTGTCAGCTGAACAAACCCCACCACGGTACCGACAGAAGATCGGCACATTTAGTGGCAACTCCGACAGCTTTTCGAGGTCGGGCATCTATTCCGGACGGAAAATGACACCTCCCGTGGGCAACATGTCGCCCTACAAGAAGAGCGGTATCATGGCAGCGGCTTTTGTACCAAAGACACCACCTACGAAACGACGTGACAGCTCTGCTGGTTGTCGCACAGTGCCACGTTCTACGCGTGTAGCAGCTTTAACCAGAGAAAACATCTCGTTGCTGCCCACCCCAAACTTTACAGGTTCGATTTGTGGCTCCCAAAAGTCTCGCACGAGCAATTGCACGGACGACGGCACTGTGTTTTCACGACTGTATCAACCAGATTTCTACAAGAACCGTGAAGAAAAGTCCAAGAACATACGCGACCGGCGCGAGAGTTTCAACTGTTCGTTCACGCCGCGCATTAATCGGCGTGACTCGATCTCATCTCTAGATTCAATCGGCTCGAGCTCGCAGACATCGATGATGTCGGCCATGACGGACGTTGTCAACGTGTCCAGTCGTCTGTACGACCCCGACTATGTCCGCAAACGCAACGCGCGACTGCAGCGTATGCGACAAGAACGTGAGATGCGCGAGTGTACGTTCCGACCGAGTATTAATGCCAATGCAAGTGCTACGACCCGTAAGAAGGTATGAATGAAGTCATGAAGCCATCGTCGATGAGATTTATGTACACCACACCAAAAATAAAAATAAAAGAGCTGTTTGATAGATCATCAAGAATGCCGCGTCGGAAGAAACCTTTTAGTGGGAAGGCCAAGAAACAGCAGCTTCGTGAGAAACGAGCAAGGGATCGACATGCGTACGAAGCAGATGATGTTGTTGATGAGACAGAGGTGGTAGTCCCGCTTGCTTTTCAACCGGTAAGTCCTTGTATGGACCAATGAAACGTCACTCTTTATTGACTCTTGATGTCTGATTTGTAGGGAGTTTCTGGACATGGCGACCTACGTACGATCTTCCAAAAGGAGTCCAAGAGTGCTATTGAAGCTAGAAAAAAAGATGCGACACGAGAGCTTGTGTATGCAGAGGATCAGGGTAACTCCCAATCAATTTATGCTTATGGTATCCAAGATCCAGTTAACCAGCCGCGTATCTTGACGAAGCCTGAGTGGTCCCGAGCTATGACTCCAGAAAAATTAAATGAGGTGGACAGTCAAGCTTTTAACGAGTGGGTGGAATACCTTGAGCAGGAAATGACGAGCCATGGAAATGATACGCAGGTCAATCTGTACGAGAGGAACCTTGAAGTCTGGCGCCAGTTGTGGAGAGTGATTGAGCTCTCATCTGTTCTTGTTCATCTTGCGGACGCTCGCTGTCCAATGTTGCATATCAGCGATCAATTGATGACGCATATCCGCACAAAATTCCCATGGAAGCGCGTGGTGTTGGTACTTACAAAGACCGACTTGGTTGCGACAGAGCGCGTCGAGAAATGGTCGGGATACTTGCAAACGCGATATGGACATGATATCCCTATCTTGGCCTACAGCCGTGACAACGTCGACGAAAGTAACGCAGTCCTAATGCGAACTATTGGTCAAGTGAGCGCTGGTCTCGAGCATCATGTTTTGAATGAGGATTCTACTGATGCAACTGAGAAGGGCACGCTGACAATTGGATTTGTGGGGGAGCCCAACGTCGGTAAAAGTTCACTTCTCAACAGCCTCTTTGGCCGCAAGCTCGTAAGCGTCTCAGCCACCCCTGGCCATACGAAACATTTGCAGACGCACTATTTTGACCGTGTGGAAATGCTCGAGCGCAACGACAATACCTATTCTCGCATTCTCATGTGTGATTGCCCTGGCGTCGTGTTTCCTCGCTTCAACGTACCGGTTCTTCTGCAGATCCTGTTTGGAAGTTTTCCAATCGCCCAGACACGCGAACCTTTCAGCGCCGTACGCTTTATTGCCGAAAACTGTGTCCCGCACCTCCATGAGGTGTACAAACTCAAGCATGTGGAGGAAGACGACGATGACGTGTGGTGTCCTTATACTTTGTGTGAATCGTATGCGCAGCTTCGCGGCTTCCGTATAAAAGGCGGTAAGTTTGATGTGCACCGTGCTGCAAACACGTTGCTGCGGGACACACTTAATGGCAAAAAGGTGGTGTTGTCATTTCCACCACCAGAGGAGTCGTGCCCCAAATAATGCCCAGATATTCCATGCACCTAAGGTTTATATGTACATAAGGAAGTAAGGTTTAAACACGTACTTAAGAAATTTAGCCTATGTACTCAAGGAAGTTTCGCGAATGTACTTAATGAAGTTTCGTCGGTCGAGACGAATGTACTGAATTAACAATTTTGTCAAGAACGAATGTTTGTAGAAACCACGATGTTGTTTTATCACATTGAGTATAACCGTTTTTTTGCTGAAAAAACGTGACGCAATTAAAAAAGCAGCTATATTATTCCCCACTTCGTGATGCTGTCTGGAAAGTTGCTACGTCGAGGCCTCCAAGAGACGCTGAGAGCGACATGGCAGACACGCAGTTTCTTACATACTACAGAGAAGACAAAACACGACATTTCATTGACTTTGTGCCGTCAAAAAGATGATGGACGTACGTATGAATCGACTTGAAATATTGACAAGAGACTGACGTTACTCCATTATGTTGGTTTTAATGCAGCAAACTGCTGGAAATGTCACCATGTCACCGATTGCTGCTCTTTTTTCTGTAAGACATGCAATGCTATTCAACCCATTAGTAAAAACTGTCACTGTGACTACTTTGAAATGTTTCAAATGTACGACAAAAGACAAGAGGAAAAACTTTCTCTCTCTCTTTTTCTCGTGACTGACGCTCTCTTTTTCTTTAATTGACACGTATGTAGTCCCAAGAACTTTAATCTAGAGCTACGCACTATTGAGAAAACGTACTGGAATCTGCAAAAACGCTTACATCCGGATCTGTACGGCTCCAAGTCAGAGGTACGATGAAGATTCTTCATCCCATTAAGTTTGTAACGATGGTGTGGGCGTGTCATGTGTCTTGATCTTTTTTGTGCTGTGTAGTTTGAAAAGGAGCTATCAGCTGTCAACGCTGCAGTTATTAATGATGCATACAAGATGCTGAAAACGCCCAACACGCGCGTCAAGTACCTGGTGTGTGTGCGTTGCAATGCTTTTGTCATTGGTTGGGGAGCTGTATTCTAACGCGCTGAGATTCATTGCTGTAGCTGACATTGCACGGAATTGATGCTCTTGGCGAGACTGCAAGTACTGCCGTAGACCCAGAGCTGCTTATGCAAACGATGGAGATCAGGTAGGAGAGAACTGGCGTTAGGATCGCTGCATGTACAAATGCTGACAATGATCGAACACAAATGGTAGAGAGCGAATTGCAGAAGCGCCGGATGTGGGCGAGTTGGGCAAGATCCGCAAGGAAATCTCGGACCACATTGACGCTGTGATTAACAAACTGGGCGAAGTGTACGACAGGGACCAGGACCTCGAGTCCACGAAGGAATACGCCGTCCAGCTCCAATATATGGTCAAGTGCGTAGAAGAAATCGACCTCAAGGAAGAGAAGCTGGACGGGTATTAGAAAAACGATTTGAATGTGAACAATCGTGCAGTGCACGGACGCGGTGTCTATTGTTTTGTGTTGCATGACAACCGCCTCGAGCGGTTTGTGTGTAATGAATGATCCACTACACTCCTCCTCGTTACTAGTCTACCGCCTGCCACCACGCTGGCGAACAGTCAGCTCAAGCACCGTGCCGTTAACGAAATTGTAGTGTGCGCACGTGAGGGAATCCTTGACGAACCCCATCGAAAACTTGAGCTGCTGCTTGTTCACTGGCATATCCTGCAACTCGGCCTGCATCGAGCAGAGTAAGATGTGGTTAGTTCCACACATCACAGTCACAACAACGCTGATTGACGCTCACCATCAACTTCTGCTTGAGCGTCCGCATATTGTCCTTCACATCCAGTTCTATCGTCAGTGTCTGACCCTCTAGTTTCCATTGGGCGTTGTCTGGATCGTTCGGAACTTTCACAACCAATCGCACCACCCCCTGCATTAACATACGCACAAAGCAACAAAACATTAGTATGAACAAGTCAAGACACCACAACCAACACACATACCGGATGCCGGGACGCAAACTCCTTTTCTGGCAGCAAAGATGATCCGCCAGTACGCTGTCTCTTTGCGGCTGGTTCAAGATCTTCGCCCGGGGGTCCTACGACTGCGGTCGCTACACCAGGAGGACCAGTACCGACGCCAGGCGGACCATTGTTCACTCCTAGTGGCATAGCACCAGGCGCTTGCATGTGTGGGGGGATAATGCTGGGGGGACCAGCACCTGGAGGTACCAAGCCAGGAGCTCCGATTCCGGCAGACATCATTCCAAGAGAACCCATGCCTGGAGCTCCCATGCCAGACGGTACCATCCCAGGCGATGGAATCATACCAGGAGCTCCCACTACCGGAGGAGCCATTCCTGGAAAGCCAACAACCGGAGAAGCAATGCCTGGAGCCCCACTCATCGATCCTGACACCATGGGATCAGTCATCCCTGCAGCATGTTGAGACATTTGAGCACTTGTAGGCATCATCCCTTGGTCAGTAAACCCAGTGGACACTGACATTTGCTGGTTTCGATTTGTCCCTGAATAAGACTCTGTTTTTTCTTCTTCGTCGGAATCTTCTTCCATATCGTCATCATGCTGTTGCTGTTGCTGTTGCTGATGCTGCTGCTGCTGTTGCTTTTCAGTCGATGCTGCCGTCGCTTGCAACAACCGCGCTTCTTCTTCAGCAGAAGAAGCAAATATGTCTGCACGCTTCGTTGCAAACCGCCGCAATGAGTCTGCAATCGCCGAGCCTGCCGCGTAGGAGCTTTCTTTCTGCTTTTCCAAATGACGCTGCGTTTCTTCGCGCCACTTTGGATTCATTAACAGAATGCGCATGTGTTCATTGGCCTCAGCAGACGAAAGTGTTTTTCCATCCACACTCAACAGTGGTTGTTGCGCTGTCGCTGCCATGGCTTGCGGTATATAGTCCTCAACCACCTTAATATCTGGCTTTGGATCGTCATCATTATCATTATCATCGTCATCGTCCTCCATATCCATATCTTCATCATCTGATGCCTTTGCTTCTCCATCACCATCAGCAGCAGAAGCGCCCAAATCATCATTATCGTCGAAATTGATCGTCTCGACAACCACAAAGTCATGCCAGTCAATCTGTGCAAGTGCACGTCGCTCTGCATCACTCTCTGCAGCCTCCTTGTCCTTGCGTTCTTGCTCGGTCCGCTGCCACTCCATTCGATGCACACAGCGATCCAACACCTGCATGCGATTCACGCCTTCCTCTATCCTATAGTCCCACGACACATGTCACCGACAGTACAAGACAAATCAACATATGACTAAACCAAATCAGCACAACTCCTCACATAACATCTCACCGCTTCAGCTGCGCGTCTTGTTTGGCCAACACCATCGTGTAGCTCTCCACAAGTGCCGTAAAGTAGGCAAACAACGGGTGCGTCGGCTTTAAAAAGTCAAATTGCGGATTGCGTTGTTCCCGTGTAGCCAATCCCGACAGGAACGAACTCCCACTCAACGCCGTGTATTGTGCCGTCAAGTACATGATTTCTTGATCCAGTGCACCAAGTGTCGGATGTTTAATAATAAATTTCTCCTCAGGTGGTGGCTCCAGTTCTTTCTCCTTGATCTTCATAGCCACTCGAGCTGTTACGTCCTGAACTGGTTTCTTCTCGACGACCACATCGCCCGTAGTTTCCACAGTCTTGACAACCTCCTGAGTCGCCGTCTTTTGCCGCTCCAAAAGCTCCGTCTGCTCCTCTGTTTTCTCGTCCTGAGGCTCTTGAGTTGAGGTCACTGAATCACTCTTTTGAACGATAAATTCATTCACTTTATGCTCGTAATACGCGTGATAAGGATCCGAATCCCGCAGGAATGAAAACTTGGTCGACATGCGCTCGCCAACGATGCGGCTTTCAAATGCTCGTCCATTATTGGCCACAAACTGTGCCGTCTTGTCCACTACTGCACGAATATCCGGGGGAGGGTAAATAAGGCCCGTTACACGGCCCTGTATCGTCGCGTCATTCTGCTGCTCTTCCGGCTCGGCTGCCATGATGAAATGGTGTTTTGTTTAAACGCTTTTTGGGTTTCGTTTTAATACGTTTTAACGCAGAAACAGGCAAAACGGTGATCGTATTACAGCAGAGAGGTAATGCTGAAATGGATAAGACGAATAGAACTGAGTTCTCAGTGCAGGTGGTTTGATACTGTCCCTGTGCATGTACGCAATAGTTCAAGGCTTTTATGACATGCAAAAAGTGTATTCAAGTTACAGGCAAACGATGGGGAGGGAGGAGGAGGGAGAAAAGTGCAAAAGAATTCTTCATCGTCCAGAAATTCCCCATCGTCAAAAGCTATTGCTGTACCCATTACAAGTCGACTCGACAACTTAATGACGTCGATCGGCATGTTTAGACGCGGTCCATGGTCTGATCTGGCACTTCAAAGGCCTTCTCACGCTCACGAAGCTCTACGTTCACTTGAGCGGTCATACAGCCCTGCGTAGAGGCGTACGTGCACTGCGCGATGCAGTTCAAGATGTCGGCGCATTCACTGAGCTCCGAGATACAAATCGAGAGTAGATTGCAAATGCAGCTGGCCAACTGGATACAATTGTTACATCGCTACGAACATCAACCACAATCATCACAACAGTAACACCTTGTTAGTAGAGAGCTCTTTATCGTTAACAAAACTTGGTCAACAGCACGTACGATAATGCGATTGTCCCACTTGTCTGGCTGCAGACGATAACGGTCCATGACCATCATACGCGTGGCAGAAACTGCACAGCCATTGCAACAGAAAGCCTAGAAAGCAGCAACAAAGACCATCATCATCATCCACAAGAAAAGAGCATCAGTCACCTCTTCTACCCCCGTCGTAAAAAGCATCACGACGTCCTGACCTCAAGACACAAGCAGCCATTGGGACAACTGGACTCGCCGCAGCGACCAGAGCGTACACAGGGCACAATGCCATCCATGTAACCCTGACAGCACGTGTAATTGCTCATATCATAATTAAGCGCCTTTCGACGGATAATGACTTGTGCACAACAGGGACAGAGACACGAACCCAAACAACCTACAGAGTCATACATGTTAAGACCTTGCTATCTTTTTACAGTAGATAATAGAAAGAGAAAGAAAGAAAGCAATCATAAACATACACAAAGGATCGGCACCGGGGGCCTGCATCATGCCCACATGAAATGCCCCGGGGTTGTTCTTGCGCACATCGTTTTCCACTGGCTCACTCGAACACAAGATGCACATTATAACAAAAGAGAGGGAAAACGAGGAAGAGGAGGAAAAGGAGGAAGAAGAAGAGAAATTTCAATTGTGTACTGAACTCTTTTTTGAAAAATGAGGAAAAGCAGTTGACAAAAATACAAATAAAACAGCTACCATGTCGCATAGGATCCGTGTGGTTTACATTATATACATATATATATATATATATATACGGTACACTGTACCACCTCAAGGGCGGACAACGTCCCTTTAAAAGAGAAACTCAATTTCGACAAAGAGATAGATAGATAGACAGCTCTCGACTTGGACGGAAGAATCGCTCTCGCTCTCGCTCTCTCTTTTCTCTCTCTCTCTCTGTCCTATTGGAGAAATCATCTCTGAGACTTGAAACTACTAACATATCTAGTCCATGTGGCGTAAGCGCCGCGGCTCGATGAGCAGCGGTAGCAATACAGCGCGAGATTCCCCGAGTCCAATGCCTTTTACTTCACTTACAAGCACTCCATCTTCCATATCGATGACGACTACAAGTCCATTCTTTGGTAGTGATCCCAATGCTACCGATCGTGTCCTTATTTTTCGTCTTGAAGTCCCAACACCTGGTCCATTAGGTCTTGATTTACGAGCACGACATATTGAACGGGACAAACCTCAACGTGGGGCTGTTGTGAAAGGATTTCGTCCACTTGAAGGTGGTAAACCAGGTTACGTGGAATCGACTGGTCGTGTGAAAATGGGTGATATTCTGCAGGTTTTACATGAAACTCCAATTGATGATATGCCCTTTGAACAGATTGTCAAACATGCGATACAATTACAAAAAGACGCGACGGTCTGGCCATTGTCAATGGAATTTCGACGTGAACCAGAGAAAAATGAAAGCAACACTCAAGCAGCGGCTTCGTCATCGACAAAACCACGACGGAACAGTTTTTTTCGATCGTCGATTTCCATGTCAAATCCTGTGCAGGATGGAAACTTTAACGAGAAATTACAGTACTTTCGTGGCTTTTTTGCGACGAGGATACCTACTGGTGGTGCTGCACTCAAGGAAAAGGAGAAACCACCTAAGCCACAGAGATGGGAGACGGTGGATGAAATGTACCGGGAGTTGATGTCGAAGCGTGGAGTGCCAGAGGACGTCATGGACGAACTCATTCGGATTGAGTCGCTCGAAACCAAGTGGCACGTCGTTTGGTACGCCCAGCAAAATGATAATGAGGATAATACAAAATCAAACGCAACCCAGGCTGAGAAGTTTGCAGAGAATTTGGTAGAGCTGAAATGGGATAACAAAGGCTTGAAAGACCTTGAGACGCTCCGTGCCAAATTATCGATTGCGTCGACTGACTGGCTCGAAGCTTTTTTGGCGCATTTTGGGTTGGACTATCTTACGATGAAACTTCCTGATCCGTCTCCATTCCCGATCGAGCATTCCAAGCACGAAAAAGCTACGCGCGTGTGCGAGGTAATTCTACGGATCTTGCGGTCACTTACTCATTTTACAGCAGGTGTGGAGGCAATCACCAACACACCAGGACTTGTTAAGCGAGTGGCCCTGTGCTTCCATACGGAAAATGGAGACGTGAAGAAATATACACTGCAGCTGCTTGGAATTGTGTGCTACAATAGCGCGGAGGGGCATGCCGCTGTTATTGAAGCGTTTGACCACTATAAGGAAACAAAAGGCGAGAATATTCGCTTTAGCTGTTTGCGGGATGCGCTCAAATCGACGCGGTACTCGTTGGTATTCAAGGAAGATGTGCTGAGTTTTGTGAATATTATTGTAAACAAGGCCATTCGATTGGAAGACCGATTAGCGATTCGTTCCGACTTTATGGCGCTCAAGATGGCTGGTTATTTTGAAGAAATCCGGGCCAAATCTCTAGCTGTACAGCGCACAAAGTATCCTCTCGCTAGTTCTGCTACTACCGTGTTGCCCGAAGAAGGGTCTAATGGAGCAATATCTCCGGTCTCTGGCGCTCCGATGACTCCCTCACCGATTCCAAACAAGCATATTGCAAAGAATACACCGTCGCCTGTTTTGAGCAGCCGGTCCTCAGGATCACCTGTCACTGGGCGGGGAATGTGCATAGGAACCCCTGTCACTAAACTCGACTCCTTGAAGGCTCTCGGTGGAAAACGATCCTCGATTCGAAAGGGCAGGGATGATCAAAGCGGCACCCGCCATTCAGTAAGCAAGAGCGCACCACCATCTCCTATAGATCGAGAAATGGCATCACTTTCTCCTGATGGTGCCATATCCCGTTCATCGCTTCCTCTGGATATCAAGGGTGCGCATCGATTTGGAAATGGAGGGAATAGCATCATCAGCAGCTCGGTCACGCAGCTTCGGAATCAGCTGGACAACATGGAGAAACAAATCGATGTGTTCGAGCAGTTCATGGAGGATGACCGGAAGGACACGATTTATGAGCAAACAGATCTGGCCTCAGTAGACAGTGTGTACCGATCTCTATTCGACAGTGTGACGAACGATCCTGAGCTTCAAGCATGTTTTCTGTCGATTTTACAGCAATTACTCTTTATTCCAGGCGATCGCGTGATTGGGAAGGAGATGTGGGCAATGTCGGAAAAGGTTGTAAAGCAAATCACGCTATTAGCTCCGGTCGAGGAAGTACGCAACTTTGATCTCGGATACGACGACCGCAAGACGTTGTTAAAGATGCGAGACCGCTATGCACAGTTTTTACAGAGGTGTGCCGATGAAGATCCTGCGTTTCACTTTCGTATGGGTCCGATTATTTTGATTGATAATATGGATCGGGATCATGACGACCTTGCGCTTTCAGATGCGACAGCAGAGGAAACTGACGAGGAAGATGCACCTTTGCGTGTGGCTGCACATGATCACCCGGAGTTGATGAAATATTTCAAAATCCTCAAGATGGGAATGCCAATGGAACATGTACAACTCAAGATGAGAAGCGAAATGCAAACCTTCGATCCATCGATTTTGGAAACTCCTGACAAGTTGGTCCAGCTTTCGAAACCGGATGGAGAAACGGAGGTGAAGGGAACACGAGCTGATGGACATAAAAAGTATGCGAAGTTCTTTAAGCTGAAGAAAATGGGCATGCCGTTGCCACAGATCCAGCTAAAAATGTCTGCAGAGGGACTTGACGGCTCGATTTTGGAGACGCCAGAACTCCTGCTTGACGATGACTGTAACGAAGTAAAAAAGGATGCAACTGATACAGGTTTTGCTGGTGTTCCAGTAAAGGAGCACGAGAAGTATGCTAAATTCTTCAAGCTGCTAAAAATGGGAATGCCTCTTGAGCATGTCCAGGTCAAGGCATCATCGGAAGGACTGGATGCAACTTTATTGAGCACACCTAATCAACTTTTGGACGAGGAAGGCAAAGCGATCGTAGCTGGTCGATTGGATCAACCGCCGCGGGGAATCCCTGTGAAAGATCACAAAAAATTTGCCAAGTTTTTCAAGTTGATGAAGATGGGTATGCCGCTGGAACAATTTAAGCTAAAAGCGTCTGCGGAGGGATTGGACGGCGACTTGCTGTTGACCCCAGATGTCCTTTTACATGAAGATGGAAGCAGGTTTGTCGCAGGGGTGGTTGTGAAAGGAGTTCCAGTGAAGGAGCACGAGAAGTTCTCCAAGTTCTTTAAGCTAATGAAGATGGGAATGCCGCTTGAACATATCAAAGTGAAAGCGTCAGCTGAAGGCTTGGATGGTGAATTGATTTCTACTCCTGATGTGCTAGTAGACGAGGATGGAAAGAAAGTGGAGGCAGCTACGGAGCAGCCGAAGGGCATACCCGTGAAGGACCACGAAAATTTTGTCAAATTCTTCAAGCTTTTGAAGATGGGGATGCCCATGGATCACGTGAAGTCAAAGTTGTCGTCTGAGGGTCTTGATGCCAACCTGTTAGAAACACCCGACAAGCTGGTTGACAAGGACGGAAAGGCAATGAAGGATGAGGTACCCGTTGTGAAGGCCATACCTGTAAAAGAGCACGATAAGTTTGCCAAATTTTTCAAGCTGATAAAAATGGGTATGCCACTAGCCCACATCAAGCTTAAGGCAGTGTCGGAGGGACTGGACGGTAACCTTCTCGACACACCTGACAAGTTGGTAGACGGGGATGGAAAGGAAATCAAGGTAGGTGGCGGGAAGATGGTGAAGGCATCGGAACACCAGAGCTACGTTAAGTATTTTGCGCTATTGAAGATGGGCATGCCGCGTCCACAGCTCGAGCTGAGGATGAGCGCGGAGTCGTTGGACCCGAAAGTATTAGACACACCCGATGCGATGATCTCGGAGGTTTTGTCTGCTGCTACAGCTTCAAAGGCACCGGCGAAACTTGTCGTGACGGGACCTCCCAAGCCTAAGCTTCGGAACTTGTATTGGGAAGCAGTTAAGAACGAGGAGACTGCTGGTACGATTTGGGAAAATTTTGTGGAAGAGGGAAAGAAGAAGAATGATGTTGCAGCGCCAGCCGGTCCGCCAAGCGTTGGGGATCTGTTTGCTGTACGATCAAAGGCACAGAAGCCCACACCCACAGCACCGAAGAAGGACGTTTTGGACAAATTTGTTGACCAACTATCAGATATATTTGCGAATAAGCCTGCTAAAGCAAAGGAATCAGAGACGAAGAAACCCATGAGGCGGCGAGCACCAACTCGTGTCGCATTGATAGATGCGAAGCGCGCGAATAATATAGGTATCATGCTGGCACGTTTTCGACTGCCGTACTACAAGCTTCGAAATGCTGTGCTGCTGGTCGACAAGGAGCTTCTCTCTGTTGAGCGGGTATCTTCGCTTCTTCAATTCGCCCCAGAAGGCGAAGAGCTGGATGCGATACAAGGTTACACGGGTGATCCTAAGCTTCTGGGTGATGCGGAGCAGTACTTCCGTGAGATGATGTGCATTCCGCGGTTAACGACTCGGTTACAAGCAATCCATGCTACGTGGCAGTTTGACTCGTACGTCGAAGAACAACGCAAGCTGATGGAGTCTGTTTTGAATGCGTGTCGCGAGTTGCAAGCTTGCGATGCTTTAAAGGAGATATTCCGCGTTGTGCTGTCACTAGGAAACGCTTTGAACGATGGTACATCGCGTGGTGGAGCAAAAGGTTTTCGTTTGAGCATATTGCTCAAGCTGAACCAGGTGAAGGCAGCGGATAACTCAATCAATCTACTGAACTACGTCGCCAAGGTATTACGTGCGAAAGACCCAGCTATCCTTGATTTTGACAAGAGTCTGCCGTCTGTCGAGAGCGCAAGCCGTGTCACCATACAGGTGCTAAAGGCAGGTGAAAGTGCAGTGCGTAAAGCTGCGAATTTAATATGCAACGAGCTGGAGGTGCATGCGAAATTACCAGAAAAAGAGTATCCACAGCCTGATGTTGTGCCAGAGTCGGAGCACGAACCGATAAAGATTTCCGATCGTTTCCAAGACGTTGTGAATCCCATTGCTGTCCGTGCAAAAATGACTTCGGAGCAAATAGCAAAAGACCTGGAAAACGTGACGAAACGATTTGAAGAGACGGCCTCGTATTATGGTGAAGACCCTTCAAGTCCTGATTCTGGACCTGATGCGTTTTTTTCTATTTTTTACTCCTTTGCCAAGGTCCTTCAGTCCGCTGATCGTGACAATGAGCGCAAACGAATTGCCGAAGAACGAAAAATTCGTCGTGAGGAGGAGACACGAAAACGGTTGGAAGAGCTCAAACTGAAGAAGAAAAAGAGTAGTTTTGCAACGTTGAAGACGGGTGATGTGGATGATATTGTGTCTAAGATTCGAGCCAAACGTGTCGAGGAAAAACGGCGAGAGATGCTGGCAAATGGATCAGTGGGACCTCCAACGTCGACGGGGTCTAATCGTTCACCTTCGTGTCAATTGCAAAGTACCGGTTTAGTTACGGACTCGGAATTGCCAACACCAGCCATGGAGGCCGTATAACCGGTACGTATATGGTAGTAGGTAGTATTCGTTCGTATCAGCGTCGATGAGGATAAATAGTGGGGAATGTCCAGCTTTTGTGCAGCACAAGACAGGAAAAATATATACCGTCAACAAACAAAAAAACAAGGTGACCCATTTTGTTTTTACTGACTGAAATGGGTCCATTCAACAGGCACTATTTATCAACCACCTTCTTTTTTTTCGTAGCCATCAACCATCTCAACTTTTTTTTTAGAAATTTGTAGATTTTTTGGCGGGAACGTCAAGTATTTGGCAAATGGATGGAAATGGGACTCCTCCGGCGACTCCGCCGTCGCCTACGAGCCCTCCGCGGCCTGCGCCTCGGTATCTAACACGTGATACCTCTGCCTCTTTGTCTTCGGATCCTCCTCTTGTAATTTCAGCGCCTATCGATCAGCCTCCGACTCATGAACAACCTTTGTCGCCCATGTCGGCATCTGTCTCGGCCTCCGCCGTCTCTGCGTCCGCCGTGTCGGCAACAGAAATGTCAGGCCGCTTTCATTTCGCTGAGATGAGCTCGTCAGTCGACGCTACACCGGCGCCGCGGTATCTTGGACGCTATGGGTCCGTGACAGATGATGCAGTGGGCGTAGAGGACGGCGACGACGTAGAAGCAGAACTGCGGCGCATGGCCCAGCGCCAACTGCCCCGAGGAGACTTGGGTCGACGAGAATGGAGACTTGACAGTTTCAATCCAATGGAGCAAGGGTCGCATGCCGTGAAGCCGGACGGACCGCCGTCGTCTCCCAACAGCAGCAGTAGAGGCTCCGAGATCAGCATTCGTAGCAGACGGTCTGGCATACAAGTGCCCACTCAAGCGGTACTGCCACAGCCGCCGGCATCTCCGCCCAGCTCAACGCGCTCTGTTGCTTCAGCTTCTGCGTCTGGGTCTGCGTCGGCGTATTCGCAGTTCCAGAGACAGCAACACGAGGAGCAGCAGGCCTTTTCCGGCGCAGTGGTGTGGGGTACCAACATCAGTGTGTCGGAAAGTATGGAGTTGTTTCGAGCCTTTTTGCACCAGTTCCAACCGGAAAACTATGGTGCTCAGGAGGAGCCGTACTATGTCAAGGCACTAAGAAGATTGGCGCTGACGCAGTCACTGGTGCTAGATCTCGATACGCAGCACCTGCGTCAATTTCGTGGTGCAAGAAAGCTGTATAACCAGTTAATTTTGTTCCCGCAGGTGCTGATTCGCATCCTCGATATGGTTGTGACGGAAGAGTATCAGGCGTTGTTAGCCGGCCCTGGATCTGGAGCGGGCGCTATCGACAATCTGGCTAATGTGGCTTTGCAAGTACGACCGTCTAACCTGCGCGAACTATCGTCAATGCGTCACCTGAATCCGTCCGATATTGACCAGTTGGTGTGTATAAAAGGAATGGTCACTCGTTGTAGTGGGGTGTTGCCAGATCTGAAGGAGGCATTCTTTCGCTGCGCAATGTGCCATGCTACGACACAGGTAGCTCTGGATCGTGGACGGATCGAAGAACCTACCAGTTGCGCACACTGTTCCTCTCGGATGAGCATGGAGATGATCCATAACCGGTGTGCTTTCACGGACAAACAGATGATCAAAATGCAGGAGACGCCCGATGCTATTCCTGAGGGCGAAACACCCTACACAGTCCTCCTGTTTGCGTTTGATGACCTCGTGGATGGTGTACGTCCTGGTGACAAGGTGGAGGTAACGGGCATTTACCGTGCAGTACCGATGCGTTCAAACTCGCGCCAGCGTGTGGTCAAATCTGTATTCAAGACGTACGTGGACGTTGTGCACTTTCGTCGCGTGGACGAACTTACCCGGCGAGAAGAGGGTGAAAATGGCGAAAATCTCAACTCCGTTGCCGTTGAGGTAGAGGAGGTTGAGACCAGCGCGATAGGACCGGCAGATTTTGACGTTGAAATGCCAGATGCCTCCGAAGAACATGAAGATGCCGCTACTGCAGCTGATGCCCAACAGACACGCAAGCTGGCAGCTTTTCGCCGTATCGCAGCACACCCTCGAGTGTATGAGAATCTGGCTCACTCGTTGGCACCGTCTATATGGGAGCTGGATGATGTGAAGAAAGGTATCTTGTGCATGCTTTTCGGTGGCACTCGCAAGGATGGAAGTAGCGGCAGCGTGAACGAAGACGAAAGGGAACATGAGCATGGCGGTGTGGCACCCAAGCGCAAGAGTATGCGCTCTGACATGAACGTGTTATTGTGCGGAGACCCTGGTACAGCCAAGTCACAGTTGTTGTCGTACGTGCACAAGCTGTCGCCACGGAGTATATACACGTCCGGCAAGGGTAGTTCGGCCGTCGGTCTAACGGCTTCGCTTATCCGTGATATGGAGACAAATGACCTCGTGCTTGAGTCAGGCGCTCTGGTTCTATCTGACGGAGGCATCTGCTGCATCGATGAGTTTGACAAGATGAGTGATTCTGCTCGCTCTGTGCTGCATGAAGTCATGGAGCAGCAGACCGTAAGTATTGCCAAGGCTGGCATCATTTGTTCCCTCAACGCACGGGCATCCATTCTAGCGTCCGCCAACCCCATCGAGTCTCGCTATAATCCGAACAAGTCAGTGGTGGAAAACGTCAACATCCTTCCTACACTGTTGTCACGGTTTGACCTCATCTACCTCATTTTGGATAAGCCACAACCGGAATCAGACCGTAAATTAGCGAAACACATCGTCGCACTGTACTACGACGAGGAAACACGTGTGCGTGCGCAAAACCGAGGTGGAGAGGCTGCACCTCAGCTTATTAGCATGAAGCTGCTGACTGAATACATTTCATATGCCAAACGGAACTGCTATCCACGGCTTTCAGCCGAGGCTCGAGACGCCCTCATCCGGGCATACTTGGACCTTCGAAGAATGGGTGGTGTCAGCGCTGCATCGGCCAAAAAAAATATCACGGCAACGCCTCGACAGCTTGAATCGCTCATCCGAATCTCCGAAGCGCTGGCAAGGTTAAAGCTGTGCGAGACCGTGACGCGAAGTGATGTCGATGAGGCACTGCGCCTTATGAATGTGGCAACGCAGCGTGCAGCAATGGACCCGCGGACGGGCACGATTGATATGGATATGATCAACACTGGTCACAGTGTGCTAGAGCGTGAATTGTTAGCGGATCTAGTTACTGGACTGAAGGAGATTTTGGGCGAGGCTCCGAACCAGTCGATGACTGTTGGCGAAACCCGTCGACATCTTGAAGAAAAACGCAAGAGCGAAGTCAAAGGTAGCGAATTTCAAATGGCGCTGCGTTCGCTCGAGGATGATAGCCTTATTCAAGTCTCTCATGGCATGATCCGCTACTTTGGTGATCCGGCAGATTAAACAGGACTGTCAGATATCACCGATTTATAGAGATCACCACCGTCACTGCTTGTTTCTTCGTCTTCGTTCGATGTTGTGTGGCCAATACTGCTCACGTTTGGAGCTCGATAACGTCGCTACGATTCTCTAGAGCGATGTTGCGCAGGTACAGGTGCTTGGAGAAGAACGACATTACCTGCTGCATGTCTTCGCGAGAGCCAATCATTGCGTGTCCTTTGCCTGGTCGAACCAAGCTCGTAAACAACTTTATTGCTGCTTCCTGGGAATATCTCCGCTTGACTTCGCGGCGCGATTGCTCTGCGAGTGCTGCTGGGTAGACGTCATCTGCTGCGCCAGTGACCTGGAGCATGGGCGTGGCAGCGGCGCCTCCTTGTGATGAGGAGGAAGACAAATGAGGGCCTGCAATGGCACCACCAGATACGAGCACCATGCCTCCCAACCGCACATCACGTGGTAAAGTCATTGCCAAGTGGAACGCCACACACGCTCCTTGTGAGAATCCAAACACAAATAAACGAGAATAACTCCAGGAATACCGATCGTGCAGTACACACAGGAAGCTCCAGATGTAATCTCTCGCCATTTCAAGACTCTGACTGCGTTGTTTGTGTGACGTAACAGGCAAAATCACATCACCGATACTATCGAGGTCGTTCATCCAAGTGAAGCCAAGACCAAAAGGCAATTCTTGAGGAGCACGGAGAGATATCACTGCTGTAAAATGGGAACAAACGATTGCATTAACCGATCGTTGTCAGCTGTAAGAACGAAGACAAAAAAGTACCTGTTTGAGGCAGTTCCATTTGTTTGCCTAGACGAGCAAAAGGCTCATGGGAATCACCACGTCCATGGAGAAAAATCAGCACGTTCTGAGCTACTGGAGCGCTCGTATGAGGCTGTAGAGAGGCGAAAGTGTGGGGCGTGAGGGAAGTAAGAGACGTCCAAGTCGAGATGGCCACCACCACGACGAGACGGTATCGTCTTTGGCTGTAGCTGCATGGATAAAGACGAGACGGTGGTGTCTAGAGGCGCATTATGAAGGGAAGAGTAAGGAATCCAGCGCGTTTGACCCCCGGAGTGACGCACGAGCGCCAGACGCGCTGCCTCATGCACTTGTTCGACCTCATCCATGGCAACTTGGGCTGTTTTTGTAATTTTCACGAAACCAGATGCTTTCGAACAGTTTTGTAGCGATAGAATTGGAAATTTTATAAAAATCATCAGTTTCGATCCGAGTTCAATCCTAATATTCTGAAAACGACTTTTAGTAATTATTTGCCAGTCGTGAAATTTACGACTCGCATGAATGACACCTGCTTTTGGTCCCGCAGATGGCTACATCGACGACGTACATCAGGTATATTTATAGTCGCAGCGTAATCTGCCAGCCATTGGTTTCTAAGAGCTTGTACTGTCATTTGGACTCTTATTGTAAACAAGAGAGACGTAAGAAACGATTAGTATCCGCAACCGTCATCTCTAAAGTGTCGTTAATACTAATGCAATGGCGACCACAACGCGTTGTTTGATTGCAAGAACCGAATCGAGTGAGTTACCGTGTTAAGGGCAGGCCTCCAGTGTCTGACTCCAGCATAATCAGTCCTAGAAAACGACCGTTACAGTGAAAGGCGACATAAAATTTAACTCAGGTCGTTTCTTAATGGCTTCCAAGTCGATGCATCTGTAGTCCACCCTGTTCAGTACTGCTCTATAGATCTAGTCCACCCTCTGAGCTGCTTGTAATTGTCGGTTCGAAAAACAAAGTAATGAGATATGAATATGACAACATAGAGGAAACCCCTCCTTGAGCAAGATAAAAAAGAGCCGTTCCCAAATAACAATCAACCATGCAAAAAGCGTTTTCAATAGTCATTTTCCGTGCAGTTATTCCTATACAGAGACATGGGCAAGAGAAGATTCATTTCTAACGACCAAACGATAGCTCTTGGCCCAATTTGCTGCTTGGCAGTCAGTGAGGGATTCGAAACGTTCTACAAAGTCACTTTTTGTTGAAAGCACTTGAACTTGTCGTCGCACTCTTTTGAACTAGTCAGTTGACGTCCATCTTCTCGACGATTGACTGGTAGTATCAAATACACTTGGAAAAAGGAAGACATAACGAACTGACGACAATGCAACAGCGTCCAAGTATCAAGACACTACAACGGCGTCTAAAGGAGGAACAAATGTGCAGATCATATGCACTCACGGACGACGTATATTGTGATCCACCAGCTTTTCATGTCGGTGGTCTTGTGACAGCAGTGGGCGTTCTGCAGCTTGTGGTGGCGCTCGTGTTCAGTGGTTTCGTGTTTGGTGGTACTTTATTCTTTTGTGCCGTGCTACTTGCGACGGTGGGGGTCACGTTACTGCACCATAATGATGGTAAGGCCAGTAAACAAGGACTGGGACTCCAGCAGGTCATGAACCGATTGCTCACACTGCATCGAAGTGCTTTAGACTATTCACTAACGCTCTCGATCGCACAGAGTGACGAGTACAAGCAGACGGACAGCAGCAAAGAGCTGCAAATTGCTGTAGTGCCGTCCAGTTTCGCGCCGCAGAAGGTGGTGGCGACCATGGCACTGAAAGACGACGAGGCTCTGAGGATTCAGGAGAACAGGAAGACGAAGCTTTGTACGGATATCAGTCCACTGGTGACGCTTAATCGTGTGCACCTGTTGCCTTTGTCGACGATCAGCTCGCTCTTAGTAGAGACGACGGAGGCGTTGATAATGGAAAAGCCCAGAGCCAATTCAGAGCCCAAGCAGGTACTGCGGAGTCGACCGCTACTGCCACTGAAGGCAAAGGGGCAGAATCTAGACCCCGTGCAGGAGAAGACGACGCAAGCGGGACCGACGTCGGCAGTGTTGAGGACGTTGGCAAAGCAGGAAAAGAAGACTACGCTCGTACAGGCTAAAGCTAATACGACGCGTTCCCAGCAAAAAAAGGCTGCACCCAAGGCACCTACGGTTTCTGCCACGAAACAGAGTCAGCTGCCTGCTGTGCTACCCAAAATTGAGCCGGGGGTTGCCATTCCGGCGGTGCTACCCACCGCGAAGACTGTTTCTCCTACGACTACTGCCAATGTAGAGCATGTTACATCTGCTGTGGCGCCACTTCCTGTTTTTCCGAAGCACAAGACTTTGATAGAAGTTGTAAACGGCGAGGCAGCTATCGAACGTGACGTGGTTGTCACGCGCAAGGTGTTGCTTTACTTGAACCCGAACGTCGGAACAGTGGTGAACTTGGATGAGCAAGACCACCTGGAGTATGAAGCTGAATGCAAACAGGATGTAGAGCGAGAACACGAGCCAGAAGACTTTGCTCTTTCACTGGAGGAGTTTCCGCCATTGTCACCGCCAATGGTACCACAGGTGTCAATGTCGCCGCCAAGTGCTCATGTTGTGGAGCCAAACTTTCTGATGGATATTGAGCTGGAGCCGATTTCCAAGTCAGAGAAAAAGTTGGTCTCGCAAAGCTCGTTGTATCTTGAGTCGGTGGGTAACGCCGATCTGCGTTCGATGATGGATGAGCTGGATACGATGCGCTTTGAGCTTGATGCCGCTCTGGCTTGCTGCACTTCACTACACCATGAAGTAGAGAAGGTATCGGCACTCACTTGATCGAAGCTGAAGCCGGAAGAAGAGTCCTATCTTTTACTGCTACCATTTGTTTTTTAGGATCCTCACGCGCACCACGATTGACAGCAGAATGCTATCAATACTCTTTTGACGCGTGCGTACGTCATATTCTGTTTCATTTTTATAGGAGTGAGAAAACAAGAAAATGGAGAAGCGACAATAAAAATTCCAACGTTTTCACCCGCAACGCTTCTCCGTGATTTGAGTTATCGGGCATGCTATCGATACCTCATCATTTGTTCAGGAAAGCCATGAAGGACGAGTAGGCACGCTCGAGGTCGAAACTGAGTTGACGCGCTTGCTCCTCATCAAGTTCTTCAGACGCTCGCATTGCATTCATTGTACACAACCAGCCTTCAATCTTGTCGCGGCCAGAAAAGTCAGGCGGAAGGCCGCTAACCATAGTCAACGAGCTCATCATTTCGCTCAACAACGGCTGGATCTCATCCACCGCTCGAATGTTGAGCTTTAGGACGTCCATGAGCGTGATAAAGTTTTGCACAGTCTGCGCTACATTAACCGAGTCTGTCTTGCGATTGGTCGTGTTGTGCACTACAGTGGCTGGCACGCCAATTCGTACGAGTCGCTCCAGGGCTCGGGGGCAGTCCAGTCTGTACTCAGAGATGAAGCTGTTCACACTATCAATGAAGCCGCCGAGACGTAGCGCCGTCTCCGCCGTCTTGTACTGCGAGATGAGCTTTGTGCACGCCTCTGTATACTACACAGCCAATGCAGTAGTCAATACATTATAGTAGCCAGCCTCTAGCGTTAAAGTAGCTGACAAACCTGTTCGGGTGTAATGGCATCTCGAACGTAAGCGGCTTCCAAGTGTTCCGTGGTCTTGAAGATAGCAAAAAGGTCTGACAGGTCTTCATATTTGCGTCGATCCTTCGTGTCATCCCAGAGCTTCATCTCCTAATGTTGTTCATTGTAACGTCAGCAAAAACAACAAACGTCAGCAAATTGATGGAAAGGTAGAGATGACATGAGACGTACTCGATTGAGCTGTTGCGACGGGGGAGCCAAATACGATGACTACCAAGTCCAAATACAGTGAGTATGCAACGGTAAGTAGATGGACATGTAGGGATGTGAAAAAAAAACAGCGAAAGGGTGACACACAGAGGAGGAAGACGAAGTCTGCGCCCGATCGCTAAAGTCGTAGGAATATGCCATGCTCCGTGAATGAGATAAAGTCAATTGTGGTACCAAAAGGAACAGGCCAATCAGACAACTGTTCCTACGGTCTTTTGACGAGTTATCGGTCCAATAGCAGCCTAACCATGCAGCATTACTGTCGCAGCACTAGACAATCTCGTCAGGCGTGGCATCGATCAGTTTCTGAATCTGAAACTGCTTCTCTAGAACTGGCCGCACATCATCAACGTCTACGAGACTCTCCAGGAATGGCAGCAGGTTCAGTAGCTCAGCGTCTGCTTCGTCGTCGTACCACGTCTCGATGGGAATACCGTTGGTCACCTGCAGGCCAAAAGCAAAAGGCAGTTAGTGCGCTATAGCAACTGAGAATGAGCGAGGTGTGTGCCGTACCTGATACCCAAAAGCGTGAGGGGAATTATCCACGAGCACGACCTTCGATAGATCACGCCCGAGGACATTCAGATCCTTCACATAGTTCCCAAAGACATCAAGACAGTCATCTCGATACAGTCGGTGCCTGTAGCAAAAGCATCTTGTAAGTCTTGGCAACTAGCGGAATGTTCGTACAAGTAATCAACATACTTGATGAAATTGTGGTGCGGATCCAGCATGTTCATCAGCTTCTCAGCGTACACCTTATGCGACGCGGTGAATACGACGATTTCAAAGAGCTTGGACGCGCGTTTGAGGAAATACTCCATATGTGGACGCTTCTTCACATTGACAACATACTCTACACCGTTAAATGTGACCTATCCAGTATTCAGAAGATACGACAGAAGTTAGCACGATAAGCACACACACACATATATCTCGCAGCAGATCAAGCGCACCGGAAACTGCATGTGTGGGTCTTTTACTTCTTCCACGCTGCAGTGCACAAGAGTCTCGTCTAGATCCAGAACCTGGTTTTGATCAAAGAAAACGTCTTTAACAAGTTGAATCGAAATCAAATGGTAAAAAACGTAAAAGACATACCAAACAAATTTTGGGCGCGTCACGTGACCTGTCCGGTAAAGAAACGGGCCGCTTTCCTTCTACAATGTCTTCGTACCTTGGTAAAGTCTTCATAAAGCAGAACCTAAAGCCAAAAAGTCGTCAATCCATCAGTCACTTACTTACACCAACTCACTCATCCGATGCAACTTACGGATTAAACTCGTGTTCTAGAGGAGTAGCACATTCCTCCTCCTGTCCTTCTCCATCTACCATGTGGTCACTAGTATCAAGAGACTCCTCAGCTAGTGCAATATCTTTTTCCATTTGCTCTTCTGGCTCAGGCTTCGTCTCAAGTCGTCCTCGAGCGTTCATTGGAGACGCGCTCGTCGATCGCGACGTTGATGGAGGCTTCAGTGCTGGTGAAAACAACTCTTCTTTACCAGCGTCTGCAAAACTTGTCTCTTGTTGTTCCTGTTCCCCGTTTGAAGAAGTTGCCGAGTCATAATTCAATCTCGTCCGTGTCTTTTTCGTCTTTGGTTTCTCCTCTTCCTGGTCGTATTCCTTCCTTAATTTTCGTGGCGAAAAGAGCGTTTCCTCCTCTTTCGACGTAATAGCATTGACATCATTTGATGCAGCTGATGACGCGTGTTTTGACTTGATGGACGTATTATTCTCTGCAAAGAGATCAAGATGAATATTTAGTAAGTGGTGACGGTAGCTCTCAATGCTATTGCTACTGCTACTGTGTCCCTCACCTGCCGGACGTTTCATGGGAGTGGAAGCAATGGGTGAGAGTGGATCAGCGTAATGGCCTTTCTTTGCGAACTGCTGTTTATTCTTGCGGTTCTTGCGTCGCTTGCGACTCGCGGCATTGACTTCCGTCATGTTTGATGGATGCTGGTAATGTGATGGTAGAAAAGTACTAGATTATGGAGGTCGATCTCCTTACTGCAATATATTAAGTATACAAGGTACTCACGACATCTGTGGTCTAATGTCAAATTTTGACATATCTTTTTTAAAAATATTACAAAATGAGGGACAAAATGTGCTAAGCACATGGCGACACACCGTCTCGATCTGCCGACCGTGCCATCCTGATTTCGTAACGCTTTTGTTTTACATAATTTTTGCGGGTATCCGACAGGGCTTGGAGCGTTAGTAATGCGTAAGTCTACAATGTCATATTTGAAGAAGCAGTACCATGGCGGCGGGACCATGCAGAGCATTTTGGCCGGCCGAAACGATTTTGTTCCGCGTGGGATGGACAACAATAAAGACTCCAGCTCTTCTTTCGCTAATGGGACGCAGTCGTTTCTGTCAATCCTATCTTTGCGTCACGGAATCGAGCAGGTGGAGAAGCTGGGGATGGCGCGTATCTTAGCTCATACTGCATCTTTGAGACCGCTGCTTGTTGGCAGATTGGCCGCCTTGAAGCACTGGAATGGGCGACCAATCTGCGTTGTTTATGGCAGTGGTAGCAGCAAAACGACAGCAAAGGAAGAGGGACCAACTGTTGCTTGTAATTTTCTTCGCTCGGATGGTAGCTACGTCGGATATAGCAAAGTTCACAAGCTGTCGGAGATTCACAATATCCATTTGCGGACAGGCTGCTTCTGCAATCCAGTTGCGTGCCAGCACTACCTCGGCTTGAAGGAGTCCGACTTGATGACGAACATTGCGGCTGGCCATGTCTGAGGTGACGACATTGATCTGGTGCATGTACTACTCACTGGTGCAGTTCAATTATTTTTGAGATACATGTTAACATTCGAAGACGTCGCACTTTTTGTGAAGTTTGTATCCAAATATTTTGTGTGCAAAAGTGCACCAGCAGATTCAGCTCCAAGCTTATCGTCTACGTCTCGTTCTCCCGGGTATGTGTCAAAGGAACCACACCTCTGCCAAATTACACTATCCGATCAAATCATGCTCAGGAATGGTCGTCGACGCGTGGCCTATTGGATCAAGAGGGCTCCTGTTCGACCGAGAATTTGCGATCGTGAACTTGTCGATGTCTACTGCACTCACGCTCAAGGCATTCCCAAAGCTCTGTTTTCTGTACCCCATCCTCGATCTAGAACGTCAAACACTGACGATTTTGTATCACAATCCTGACACCTCGACGTCACGGCAATCCGAAACATTGCCGCCATCTCCGGAGCTTCGATCTTTACCGTCATCGTTCACAATACCTCTGCATGCAGAGACATCCATTACAAAATCTCACGGTAAAGATGATTCTCGTCATATGCGTGTTTGCGCTGACATGTGCAGGGGGCGCAACGTAGATGCTGACGTCTTTCAATGGCTCAATTCGTGTCTTGGCGGCCTAGTAAGTAATGCAAAGGAGACATTCTAGACCCAGAAGCTTCAACACTCTACTGGTAGGTCAAGTGCAACGTCATGTCCCATCCATTAGTTTGCCAATCAGACGCAATACTTGCTCATTTCACGCCAGAGCATCACCCATTTCAACCCAGTGCTTGTCGCTGTCAACAGTTCCATGAGTATCAGCCAAGACTTATTCCAAGGTCCATGTAAACGCTATAGTCTGATCAATCTCGACCCACACACAGGCCAATTCAGACGACAATTATTACCAAGTTCTCTCTACCTACCGACGACAGCAGAGTCACCTTTTATTCATCACTCTCTTACGTCATTGTCAAAAAACGTGTGGCTCCGGGTCGACGACCAAGTTGAAGTGACTCGGATCCCCTGCGAAAACGATCATCAACTTGAACGGTGCGAGTACCTTTCTTGAGGTTTTTTCCATGCCTACGTCAATCAAGAGGTTTTTTCATGTCCAAGTGTTGCCCCCCCCCCCTTATGAGCCATTCGCGTATTTCCCACAAGACCAAGAGATCCAATACTTAAAGATGCCGAACCCCCGTGTTTTCTTTGATATGACCGTTGGTGGCGCTCCCGCTGGCCGCATTACGTTTGAATTGTTTGCTGACAAGGTGCCCAAGACAGCCGAGAACTTTCGTGCGTTGTGCACGGGCGAAAAGGGCATTGGCCGCTCTGGCAAGCCCCTGCACTTTAAGGGCAGCTCTTTTCACCGTGTGATCCCCAACTTTATGTGCCAAGGTGGCGACTTTACGCGTGGTAATGGCACGGGTGGTGAATCCATTTACGGGGAGAAGTTTGCGGATGAGAACTTTTTGCTCAAGCACAAGGGCGAAGGCATTTTGTCCATGGCCAATGCTGGCCCCAACACGAACGGCTCGCAGTTCTTCATCTGCACGGTTGAGACTTCGTGGCTGGATGGAAAGCACGTGGTCTTTGGACGTGTCGTTGAGGGCATGGACGTTGTCAAGAACATTGAGAAGGTTGGCTCGCAATCGGGCCAGACCAAGGTCGCTGTAGTTGTGGAAAACTGTGGAGAGCTCTAAGCACCGAGTGATTACACTCTTCGCGGCCAAGCTGCGTAAAATGATTGCTGCGTGACAAGCAACGACGGTGTCGTGTCTATTGCAGACGCACCTGCTTCACATCGATAATTAAACAAAGCTCACTCTTTTACTTTGCACGCTGGTTGTATGCAGCCTAGACTTTCTTATTTGTTGTGCTTCATGTTTGTATGCTGCCATGTCTCGTATCTACTCTGTGCTTTTATTATACTTTTATACGCTTAAAGTGCTCCGATGTAAGGTCAACGCAAAAGTGTCACCATGAGAGAACTCCATGTACAAGACATGACGATACGAAGCGCTTGGAGGCACGTCATCATCTCGAAGCACGTCGTGGTTCATTTTTAACAACGACTTCTCCACTACCGAAAGCTTCTGCTGCGACGGTCACTGCTTTTCCACGAGTTCGTTGTTTCTTGCGTTGATGTGAGATGTCTTGAGCCGCATCTCGTTGCTGTTTCAAGTCCATTGGCGTGTCTTCCGTGAGATCAAAGACCTCGCCTTTTGCCACAGCTTGCTCGATCCGATGAGTGATGGCTTCCTCAATTGACATGGACCCCTCGATTTGAAATTCCTCATCCTGTGTCTCGGCTCCATCTGAAGATGGGGCAAACATGCGCACTACGCGTCGAACTGGTGCCTCAAAGTCGGCACACACGTACGCATCTTCGCGTTCTCCGTCAAAAAAGGTATCGTCTGCTGCAACGGCCTTTGTAGTTGCTACGTGGATGTCATTGTAGAGCGTAGCCTCCATCGTATCCTCAGCAACGAGCCGGACGACAGTCACGAGATCATTTGTTTGACCCATTCGCAGCACACGACCAATAGCCTGTTGCTCCAATGTACTGGCTTGCATGGGACTGAATCCGACCGGGTCCAGGAAAATAACATGTGATGCCACTTGCAGGTTGATCCCAGACGCACTTGTGAGCGAGTTTAAGATAAGGACTTGAATGTCTCCACTATGGAAAGATGCGACGTGTGCGGACTTGGTCTCGCTCGACTGGTGCTGCAAAAACACAGCACTTGTGATGTTTGCCAGACGAAGCGCCTTGTCTACTACACGCAGTACTTGATCCCACATCGTAAAGACCACGACTTTAATCGTTGGCCGGCGGCTCAAGTATTGCACCAGTGCTGATATCTTGCTGCCATACACTGGCATTTCCTCATCACTTTCGCAAACCATTTTTGAGCTGATTAGCGCCACGCAGTCAGTAATCTGTTTGAACTGCTCTTCAACGATAGCGCGAGCACGTGGACACCGTTCGTTCAACGTGGATCTCATAATCTTGGCGAGTTTTTCCACTTTGTTCATCGTGTTGAAGTGTTTTAGAATATAGTCTTCAATCTCACTTTCGTGGTAAAGTAACAGCTCCATTGGCTCAGGTATGTCATCACCAGACTGATAGTGCTTGTACAGCATCCGGAAACCAGCTTCAGTCTCTCCACTTTCGTTGAAGAAGTTGCTTAGACCAGATCTATTCAAGTCTTGAAAGCACTCTTGCACATCAGCATACGCATTTAAACGAATGGCACGGCAAATATCAACTGTGTTACGCGTCGCAGCCTCCATCACATTTACTTCATCTTTTCGCTTGGTTGCCACAGCCAACTGCCGCTTTAAGTGATAGTTCTCGTCGCGAAACACCTCGCTAGGGCTCTTGATTTTGACCAGCGTTGATGCCATGCTGACCTTCGAGTCGTTATGCTTGCCTCCACGCTCCCGCTCGAGTATCCGATCAGAAATGGCAGCGTGCACACAACTTTGTCGTGCGGATTGGTACTGTTCTGTCCAATGCATCCCTAACAGCGCATCCTTACCGCATACAGGTGACCTATCTGGAATAACTACAGCGGTCGTACCCTCTCTTCCACCAGCCTCCAACACGTCAACATCATCAAGAGCAAAAACGTCGTATTCGGATTGATTCGCGGCCAGGACTTGCTCAATCTTGTACAGCAACATTTCCTTGGGGTGCAGCTTTATAGGGATGTAGGTTTCGTCCACTTTAATTTTATCCGTGATTGCTTGCTGCTTTACCTGTGCACAGTTTCGAAGATAAAGTTTCCGTTTAATTTCATCAAATGCAGGATCGTGCGGCAGCAGTCGTAGCCTTTTGAATCCCAACAGTTGATTATTTGCGTACATTGACTCCGTCTTGCCAGGAAAAGGCGTTGCGGTAATCAGCCACACATTCAAACACCTATGTGTGAGCTGAATAAAGCAGTCTCTCGCACTCTTTCCAGGCAGCACTAAATCTTGCACTTCTTCAAAAATCACCCGTCTCCATGGTTTCTGCGGCAGATGCAGTGGGGTTACCCACAGCGGCCCACAATAGGCTTTGTGCACAAACTTAGCTGCTTCCTTGTACTCCTGCAACGCAGTAGGCTCCACAGACAGAGGCTTTCGCTGCCCTTTTACCTTTATCGTGTAAAATTTCCCGTTCTGGTAGTAATGATTTCTCGACTGAACAGCTTCTTCCACGCCCACAAGCACGAGCATTCGATTCGAAATGTCTGCTCTTGCTGCTGGATTCTCCATCAGTTCCATGTACTTTTTCAGGCCCAGCACCACTTCAATTTCATTCGGTTTGACGAATTTTTCCACTTCGATTTTCCACTGTGCAAGTAAATGCGACGGTCCCACGAGTAAATTGGCACCGGCCGCATAATCTCGTGGCTCTCCTACGATAAGCGCCAACATCGTCGCTGTCTTACCCATGCCAATAGCATCAGCCAAACATCCACCTTTCGAATAATAGTCCAGTAGACCAAAATTGAACTTGGTGACGCTCTCGACACGCGCCTCGATCTGTAACATGCGGTGCAGGGAGCGACGCTGGTGTTCATACAGTGGCACTTCGGGACGAAACGCGGCGGGTGTTGGTTCCTGTGGAGATGTCAGTGGTAGGAAAGGCACCTTCATCTGCACGTCTTCAGCTACGCGCTTGGCAGGGCTCGGACACACGAACGTTTCGATGGATACCTGCGTACATTTGCGTTGCCTCATAATTGCTTACTGTTCCCGTGTGATGTGGTATACCTCAACCCCGTATTATGTGGGTTACATCAACCTCGTATTATGTGGTATCCATCAGTCCCGTGATATGTGGTATACATTAAATCGGCAGTGACTGCAGCCATTTCGTGTCAAATTGTGGACATGACACCACCGAACAAGCACGTGGCCATCATTCCTGAAGGATCCATGGAAAGGAAACGTCCCGTCGGTACCACCGCCGACCCGCCATCTCTTGCTCTTCATACGGGGCCTTTAACTGACGTCGTAGCGACCTCACGGACGAGATCCAACGAGCAGAATAACCTCCCTCCTCCTCCACCTCAATCGTTTGGCTTCCCAGCGCCTGTCAATACAAACACAAACGTCGCTACACGTGGATGGAGACCGGGACGAGTCGGAGGACGTCATGATGTAGGTCGATTTTAGTATTAAATTTGAAGAGATTGGAGCAACTAAACACTTGTTCTTTGTATGGGATAGTCACCATTGTACGGTAAAAACCGGAAACGTCCGTCATTGTCGTCCATTGACAGTAACGTGAGCTGGAGTGGCAGTGAAATTGAGTCGATTAGTGGCGGTAGTGCAGCACACAGTGAACAGGAACAGGTAACGAGACTGAGCTGGGCTTCGTCGGCTGTAACGAGAGAAGAAGTGACAAGTACAGGGCAACAAAAAGGACCTCACTTCAGCGGCGACGCTCTTCAGACATGTTGCTATTGACAGCACGGGTACAAGTGCAAAAGAAGTCGATGTACCGTCGCCCAAGACACCGCATGCGGACAATTGTGTGGACTCTCGTACGAACAGCACGGACAATGTGTTTGCAGCCACGTCTTCTATAGTATATGACGAGGAGAAGAACGGTCCGCAATCGTGTCCTTTGATGTTTAATAACACGAGACAGCCCCAGTTTTCAATCGAGAAACTACATCAACTGCGGAATAATGAGCTCATCCCGTCAAAGTTCCTGCCTACGCGCACCAGTGTGGACAGTCTCATGGGTTATGTGCGGGAACTGCAGTTATCAGAGGCAACTTTGCGTAAGCAGCTCTTGAAAAATAAGCAGCATACAGAGGAAGAGTTGACGCACTCGTTATCAAAGGTGAATGAACTAGAACGGACTGTGCAGGAGGCAGAACGAGATCGCGAGCTTGCTCGACGGAAGCTGGAGGAACAGGAACAACTTATTCGTGATCTTGCAGCCAAGTTGAAACAAGCAGAGGCTTTCAAATCGAAGGGTACTGCTGTCCCCGCTGTTAACGACCTTTCGCCGATCGCTGAAGAAGCAACCGTACAAACAGAGATTGACACGTCGGCTCTGACTGCTGAAACGAATGAACGCCCCGACATCTTTCCTCCGGTCCCAACTCCCGCGATGCAGCAACAGCAATCTTCAATATCTCTTGCGCACCGTGACCAGCCAAAGGAGGACAATAGCGGTACCCAGTTCGGACTTGCATCACCTCGATCACCAGATCGACCACTCTGGGATCCGTGGGTAGCAGGAGGTACGAATCCGACGAAAAACCTTCCACCTGTGTTTACCATTGGGTCGACAGGATTAGATCCAGCGGTGTCTTTGTCCACGCCATCTTCTCCGACGTCAATGTCAGACCCGACAACGCCTACTATTGAAGAGTACGAGCTCAAGTCTGTGCTGTTGTCTCCGCGCGAGAAACAGAACCAGATTGAAGCCTCCGGAAACGGCAAGTATGCTCAGCACGAAGAGCAGAACACTACTACGGCGCCTCCTGACACACAACAAGAGAAGCAGAATCCTGCTGCAATTTTTGACATGGGGCCAAGGCCGCCGCCATTGGACTCGCACCAGCAAGCTTTTGCGTCTTCAGGGACACCGAGTGCCGCGCTTGGTGTGCAGAGCGTGGATCCACTTGTAAAATCTTCATCTCAAGATGTTCCAATGACAACTTCAGCCAACGAAAATCTATTGGAACGCAAGCATAGTGTTACGGGAAGTAATGGATTACAAGGCCAGCAGTGGCCATCTGCAACCTCGACCCCGTCTTTTGTGAGTGCCGAAGCGGCAAGCATTGGGGAGATGGTACTGCCTCCTTCATCAAGTTTTGCTGTGCCGTCGTCGCAGGCGTCGGTAAAGAATGCTCAGTTTCAGTACGATGAGTCAGAGGTAGCTACAAATTCCAGCGGAGACACTCAGGTCGCTCAACCTGAGCAAGAATCTAATTTTGTAGCAGAAGATGTTGCTACTGGCGTTCGCAGCGTTCTGCCATCAGGTTCTTCTCCACCCGTGGCTCCCGCGATCTCAGAGATTCAGGCACCCAGTCCCGCTTCTGCTCAAATTGAAAGTGCTGCTGATCCAGCAGAGCCTGAATCTTTAGAGACGTTGCTGATAGACTTCTTCACGGAGGTGGATAATAAACGACTGAAGATGGCGAAGGTTTATGGAAAGCGATATGCGGGCCGCGAGAAGTGGCTGTTTGCTGAGTTGTCGAAGCGATATGGTGCAGCAAAAGTGGCAGCGTTGAAGGTTCGATTCGACGATGGAAGTAGTGGCGATGCTTCCGCTGTCACCAACCACTGCAAGAGCAGCAATGATCCTCACGCAAAGAATTCGTCTAATGTCTCGACCCACGCAAAGGCAGGGCGTCAAGTTCACCCTCGGCATCCACACTTCGTTCATCCGCCTACGCCTGCCAGCAATGTAGACCTTAGTGCTGGTGCCGGTGTATCTTCAGTGGCTTCTTCCGTTGCCCCGTTTCAGGAAAAGGACGAGTCGCGCTCTCAGATACGACAGGTTGCCGAAGAAATTAACACCGGTTCGAGTCCGAGCAAACAAACTTCTGCAAACTCTATTTCACCTCAGAAGTGTCCGACTGGAAGCAACATCTCTTCTTTATCTGGCCCTCCGCCGTCGCTCCCAACCTTGCAAGAGACTGGCGAAGGAGACAATGCGACTGCTGTTGGCACGGACGGCGCAACTTTAAGGAGTGGGCCTGCCCGAAGAACCCGACATGGAGAGCCGACCAGTCACTTCAATCAGCTACCTTCCCGCCCTCAGACTGAGAACAGTAACACTCCGCCTGTAGGTCTCCGACAGCGCCACCAATTGTCTGCCGGCAGCCAAACAAGTACTGGTGTCGAACGTCCTGATGTGACCTTAGAGGGTTTGCTAAAGGAACTGTACAAGACCCACCAACCTGATAAGCTGAAAAACGTCTCCATCGTTGCAAAGCAGTACGCTGGCAGAGAGCGTGAGCTTGTTGGGTTGTTGAAGGGAAAGTATGGAGTACTGAGCGTGAAACGGTTGGAAGAAAACCTGGACAGTCTGGAGCGTACCCACCGTGCTCACATGAGCAAAAACGGTACCAGGAAGAAGCGAGGCTGCTTTGTTCGAACGGTCTCACTGGTGTTTTGGTTCACAGTGCTGCTGAATTTCTCGTTTGGAGCTGTTTTTGTCAGCTTTGTCGTGTTAAATGCGTGGGGGTGCCGCTCTTTTGACAGTGAGGAACAAGAGCTGGAAGCTGCTGGCGATTGTCTTCCGCTGAAGAAGGAGCTGGAGACTTTCACGTACGAGCGCATAGCTACCTACGTGGTCCAGTCGCATCCGGATGCTTGCTTTTGCTCGGAGTGGAAGGCGCGCGAGAGTGCGTTGTTTGATACCTTTTCAGGTGAAGACCTTGTCAAACTGGCGCGACTAGTTGCGTTTTCGCCTGTATCGTTTGGCGTGCCGTGGATTGCGATTGTGAAAGAACAAGTACCGTCGCAAACATTTTACGACAGTTATGCGAAGCCTGTGGTGGATTTGTCATTGGATGCCGGTATATTCGCGTGGTCTTCTGTTCTCGAGCTGGCAGGGTATATTGAGGTGTCGGCGATGTCTACGGCTGTGAAGAATGCCGTGGATTAGTTATTTCGGTGAAACTGCTGAGGTGGACAACGAACCTTTTGCCGACAACGTTAATGCAGATGCCTTACCAATAGAGGAGGCACAAGTGGTTGATGGTGAGGCTGTTGCGGTGGCACCTGGTTTGTTGGAACAAGTTTTAGTTAAGGAAGAACTAGACACTTTTGACGAAAACCGCAAGACAGATAGCCTTGAGACTAGTGATCGGGCAACTGGTTTGACGGACAATGTGTTAATGGAGGATGATGTTAGTGAAGGTATGACAACTGCCAGTGAAGAGGGCTTCTCATTGCTTTCAGAGACAGATGGAGAGGAGCTTGCTACAGTAGAACCAGTCAATGTGTTGGAGCTGGAAGATGTTGCGCCAGTTGAAGTGGCTGAGTCGATTGATGCCGGCGAACAGGATTCGTTCGATGAGGCCGAGGGAGAGGAAACTTGGACCGATGCGAGCATCCCAGCAGAAGAGGCTGAGTCTGCTGCAGATGCCGATGACGGAACTTCTGCTTTTACCGAGACCGAAGAAGAGGATGTCGCTACTACAAAGACCTCCTTCAACGATATTGAGGCATATGAAGCTGAGTCTGTTTTTGGTACCGATGAAGGAACTTCTGCTTTTATTGAGACCGAAGAAGAGGATGTTGATGTTGAGAACACCTTCTTCAACGATATTGAGGAAGTATCTGAAGCTGAGTCTATTTTTGGTACCGATGAAGGCGTTTCTGCTTTTACCGAGACTGAAGAAGGGGATATCGATGTTGAGAACACCTTTTTCAACGATATTGAGGAAGTATCTGAAGCTGAGTCTATTTTTGGTACCGATGAAGGCGTTTCTGCTTTTACCGAGACTGAAGAAGGGGATATCGATGTTGAGAACACCTTTTTCAACGATATTGAGGAAGTATCTGAAGCTGAGTCTATTTTTGGTACCGATGAAGGCGTTTCTGCTTTTACCGAGACTGAAGAAGGGGATATCGATGTTGAGAACACCTCCTATAACGATATTGAAAAAGTAGCTGAAGCTGCAGTGGAAGTGGAAGTGAATGAAGAGATGTCAGCTGAAGATGTCATAACCGTATCGGAGGGCGTTGTGGAGGTGGAAGTACGCCAGGATGGTATCGAACTGTCGTACGCCAAGTCAGAGATGGATGAAGCGCTGACTGCGAAGTCTGCTGAGTCGTCAATCTTATCGGTGGACAAGGAATCAGATCTTTTGTTCGGTGGCGGTGAAGAGCCGTCTGCTTTAAGCGACGAGACGGAGGTAGTTGAGGCTAAAGATGCGTCTGACGATGTCTTTGTCGGTGCAGCAGAGGAGGATATTGCACCAGTGATGGAAGGTGTTGACGAGGATTTTGCTGCGCCAACCAGTAGTGCCATTGAGGCTGATGTGGAGGTGACGAATTTGGGGTCCGACATTGCCACAACAAGCGAGGTGGTCGAAATTGAGGCGGAGAACATCGAAAAGGAGCCAACTGACCCCGAAGTCTTACAGATGAAGCCTCCACATGCGCTAAGCTCAGAGTTCAGCTTGGTGTTTGAGGATAGTGAATCGTCAAATATTACTAGCATTGAAAACATTGAAGAGCTGGCACTGATGTTGGCGGGTGAGGAGATTGCTGCTAATTTGCTGAGTGAAGGACCTGAGTCGGAAGCAGGCAAGGAGTTGGATGACCTAACCAAAGCTGAAGCTCAGGAGACGGAGACGACGTCTGACAAAAAGGAGGGAGTTCCGTCCGAAGAAGACGATGCCAACATGCTAGCGGAAGAAGGTTTTATCGTGGCAAAACCTGAGCGTGAGCCGGATTTCAGCTCGAACGATATTGATGCGGAAGTGATATTGACTGAGGAGGGCACTGTTCGTTCGTCGGATGATGAGTATATGACAATCAAAGAGGAGGGTGACGATGATAATGAGGAATTGGTCGCTCCTGCTGAAATGGAGGAACTCATATTACATAACGGTGATGATGAAAATATGTTTGAGGAGAAATCCGACGAAGCCGACGACGAGATGGTCATTCGTGCTGAGGTGGAGGTAGCAAGCGAGCTGGAGGTAGAGGAATACTATGGTGGCGTACCGAGCGAGAATATCGTGGCGCCTGAATTGACGGACGACTTGGAGAATCAGGATTATGATCTGAAGGGGAGCGTCGAAGAAGCTGTTTCAGCGGAGATCGAGGCAGTTGGTGAGAGATTGAATTTGCTGTCTGAGGTCGAAGTAGAGAATCTCGAAGATGTTCCCATCGAGATGGATAAGGTAGGCGCTGAATCGACTGCTTCAGATGAAATTGAAGTGATGCAATTTGTGTCTGAAGTTGACCTGGGCCACGAGCTGGGCGAGGGAATTGTGGTGGATTTTGAAGACGCGGTCGGGTCGGACGATGAAAATACCGTTTCTGTTGAGCACCCTGATGAAGTGAACGAAGATATCGGGGATACTGAGGCTGTTGATTCATCTCTGACAAAAGTAGATTCTCCAATTGCTGATGAGGCGATGTCTATCGAAGATGGTCCAATCGCTGGTGATGTAGAGAATGTCGGTATTGCCGAAGACGAAACTCACATCAGCGACGAAGTAGAGGCTGCTACCTTAGAAGCGGCCACGGTTACTCATCAAATGGATGCAATTGGTGATCCCGAGGTGTCGCATGCTGATGGACCCACAGCCGTCGACGGTGAGACATCAGAGCTACAGCAAGCCGTCGATGAATCTTCAGCTCCTGCTATTGAAGAGGAGGCAAGTGACGGATTTGCTTCAGCTGTGAACGAGGTTCTTGCACGACTTGTGGAGCCTTTTGAAGCAGCCAAGACAGCTGCGATGTAGGCAGCGAGCACGAGTAGACGAGCTTTATGATAGTTGTCGTTAGAAACATGTACTGGCAAATACATACCCACCTGATAAAACCGTGGATTAGGCTGTCTCAGACAATATGCTTATTACATTGGGGTAAGACATCAAACACAATATGAATCGACTGCCCTCAAGTAACAACCACGTTAAAACAAATGCGTTTAAACGACCTTAAAAGGCTTTAGATAATTGTAAATGACTTGGATGGCTGCATGTGACTGCGAAAGGGTTTATAAAAAAACTTGTTGAACAAGAAACTAATATCCATATGGACATGACCGAGCGTAATTGAATCCATCTAGCTAGCATTTTCATGTTTGTTTGTACGGCATTGCAGTAATTTGAGGGAACTGCACGATGAAGAAACATTCTGTTGTGCTGGATGAAGTAGCTAAGAGTGGGGTCAATCAACAAGCGCCAAGGATGGCGCTGGATTCAAACCTTCATGAGACTTCGTTCAGGTCTAGTGATTAAGCGTCTTCACTTTACCGAGGCGGCAACCATTTGAAAGTCGATAGCAAAGCTTCAGCTGTTCTTTTTATAAGCTGTTACTATGCCTTCCGAGGAAGCTCGTCGCTCGTCGCTCGTCGCTCATATGACGTGAGTGAAGTGTTCACTCATCTGCTATGTGCATCATCCGATAAGCCTCACGTCAGACTCGTAAAAGAGCTCGCCACAAGTAGTATCCAGCACAGAGAGAGTGATGAACCTCTGTGCGCGGTATGTTCCGTTACCCTGATAAATCCACAGAACAAGGCGGTAGAACAGCGGATCCCGCATAGCCTTACATCAGTCAAACGAAGGTCCTGATTAACATTGAGACGGTCGAACACGATCCCTCATACAAGGACATCGGCTGAGCAGCGGCTTCCAAACAATAATGAGGCGGTCGAGGGAGCGCTCCCACATACAAGCACATCGGCTGAGCAGAGGCACCCCACCAATTCCGAGGCGTTCGAGCAGGGGGTCCTGTAAACATGTGGCGAAGCGAAAGAGTGAATTTTGCAAAGTGTGATCGCATATATTCGCTTAAGTCCGAAATGGTCAATATTGATGAATCGCGATCCAGCAGAAGAAGTTTTCAAGACGTTGCAAATGGAATGGACAACAGTGAATGGTGGTTCTCGCAGTTCTATGTTGAATTAACTACGGCCTAGAACTACGCAACTGCGATCCCCGGTATTTTTCGATGGCGATCCGGGTGAGGATTGGTAAATCCAAGTATGTGGAAGACGGTCTAGTGTAGATCACGCCACTATGGAAGACTGGAATGAGGTGGACATGACATATCATAGATGGACCATTTCACATGATCCGGTGAACTGTAAAGGTGACAAGTCGTGATCCGGCGAATCGCGATCCGATACTAATTATTAGTACCGCGATCCGATACTAAATTGGTATTAGATCCGATCGAGGTAGCGATCCAGATCGCGGCAAATTTGGAGTGGACCACATGACAAGATCTGATTTTTCCGAAAGGGTGATACGTGGCAATAGATTTTGGATTACAGATAATCGGAATCGTAGGTTTAGACATTTGATTAATTAACATTAAACAGAGTTCAGTTTTACTTCTAATACACGTGTCGACTTCTCTTCCGGGCTGGATTCTTTGGCCACCCGACATCTCGAGAAGCCTACACACTACGCAAGTCATATCCCTGGATTGTTTGGCCAGGAATTGCAAGAACTCTCAACACAACTCAACTGCGATCGGACGCAGAAATAACAAGTAAGGACAAGGCAAGCAAGTGCAGAACGGATCAAGTGGTCAGAAGGTTCTGCTCAAGTGGTCAGAAGATTCAAGCTTCGTTTTATTGAATAACCGTGATCGATTGGGAAGATCACACCAAGTACTCGGTTTATCTTGTGAAGATTTCCACAAGATAACCAAACCCCCTATCCCTAACCCGATTAGGATCAACATCGACTCAAGTTTACCGAAAGGAGTACAACTCTCCCAACCGACGGGTACACAAGGTGAGGAAGGCTTTATACACGAAATCGGGGTACCCCCTTCGTGAGTCGGTCGTCCGGGCGCCAGTGGAGAGTTGGAATCGCATCAGCAATTTTGCGACTCCCAAACCACCACAAAAACACACATCGGTCAAGCACAAGCTTTCTAGTGTCACCGAGGCGGTCGATAACGAGCTACCACATACAAGTAAGGCCGTCGTAGACGATCTCTCGCCTCTTGATAACGAGAATGGGCAGACTATCGATCCGCATGAGACCGATGTGGTAAAGACAGGACTCCCACGTCTTGAGGGGTGTACATCCTCCTCCTGTGATAGTGACGCGCCAGCCTCGAGCAGGGGCTCGAGACGAAAGAGAAAACGCAAGAAAGGAGCACGATGATCACCGAGACGACTACATTCACGTTAAAAAGCTGATGAAGATAATTCCATAGTGACGGTATCTGTATGTGCGCTTGATTATGTGGAGGGATCCCCATATCGTGGCCGCTACATTGAGGTAGCCATCCCTTCGTGCAATGCTGCAGAGATCACATCTCTGTCAGACCTTGCATGAATAGACTTCCTTCATGACCTCAAGGCCGGCGACATCGAGCAAGTGTGCATTGTTTCAGCCACCGAAGCAGCCAGTGAAGAAGTTTTGGAGGCTCGCCCAAAGAGCGTTGAGCCTAAAATAACGCGCGAAGAACGCTTCGCGGCACATTCTTTGGGATGCTCTTCGTGCTTCGGGCAGCCTGTCTCCGATATCGCCCACAAGTACGCCGATATCTTTCCGGAGAAAATTCCAGCTGAGCTTTCATCGTATCGTGGTGTGCGGCACGAGATAGATCTCGTACCAGGATCGAAGTATTGCGTGACACGGAAGTGGCCGTTACCGCGTGACCAAGTCATCGCTATTGATGAATTTTTTTAGGGTCGCCGCAAGGTTGGCCATGTCCGCGAGATTATCTCGCCACATTCGAGCCCGACTTTCTGTGTGAAGAAAGCCATCGGCGGTTGGCGCATTGTGCACGCCTTCAACAAGCTGAATGACGACACGATCCCGGCTCAAACGCCTATCCCTCGAAAAGACATGGTATTGAATACCATGTCCGGGAGCGAGATCTACAGCGCCATAGATCTGACAGACGGTTTCTATCAGATCCTCATGAGAGACATTGACATTCCGTTCACTGCGGTCAGCATTTCAAGCGTGATTCTTTGGGAGTGGTTAGTCATGCCACAAGGTCTTAATAACGCTCCAGCTACGTTCAATCGGATGGTGGCACAAGTAATTCGTCCACTTCGCGACTTTGCATCGAGCTACTTTGACGACATTGTTGTTCACAGCCGCACTGAGAAACATATCAGCGCTACGGGGGTACTTGAATCAGAAGGGTCAAGTTAATTTATCTTCATATTTATTTAAGTGTATGAAGCGCAAGAAGAAATTGTATGCAGATTTGAAGAAAGGTGTCTTCTACACTCCCGAGATTCCAGTACTCGGATGCTACGTCAGCAAGGAAGATGTCCGCGCTGACCCTAAAAAGATTCATCGATCGGTTACCTGGCCAACGCCCAGGAACCAAACTGGATTACGTCAATGGCTCGGTTTGGAGAATTACATGCATAAGTATACGAAGAATCATGCTGAGCTAGTTCAGCCGTTATCGATTTTGCTCAAGAAAGATGCAGTCTGGATATGGAAGGCAGAACATCAATCTGCCTTCGGCTTCGTGAAAAAGAGCTTGTCCGAAGCACCAGTGCTGATGTTAGCTGACGCATCCAAGCCATTTCACGTCGTATGTGACGCGAGAAATTTCACTATAGGATGTGCTTCATGCAATTTGATGACGATGGTCGAGAGCTCGTGCGGAGTTTTTAATCATGACAGATAAACCCTGCAGAGAAAAATTATTCGGTACACGACTAGGAACTTTTGGCTATGCGTTACGCGCTAATCAAGTTTAGAGTATATTTGCTCGGCGAGAAGATGTTTTCAGTCTACACAAATCACGCATCATTGCGTACCGCCGTCAAGAGTCCTCACTTGTACCAGCGTATGGCACGGTGGCTGTCATTTTTGCCGAGTATAATTTTGTGGTGCATTACAAGCCTGGCAAGAATAACATTCTTGCTGATGCGCTTTCTCGTCGTCCTGATTACGATCCTCGGCGTGATATGGGTCATCAGTCGGAGAATGTTGAGATGCCGACGACATTTCATGTATTGCTATGAGCTGGGGCTCAATGCGAGGATCTCGACACCTGTGCTGTTAATCCGTACTCAGATCGCGTAATCTTACGCAATGAAGAATCTTTATGCGAGCACCATCAACTATCGCAGACAACCTTGTTAGGATTCACTCGCGAAGTTGACGAACCAAAACTCGATAACATTAAGCGTTACGCGCTTAATGGTACGGTTGCTGACGTACACAATGGGAGTCTTTGATTCACCGCTTGTCGTCATCTCTGATGATAACGATCTTAGAGCCCGATTGGTTCATGAGTTTCACGACAGCTCTGATGTTGGTAAATTGGGTTGCAAAAAGACGTTCGCGACTATTTCTCGTGTGTTTTTCAGGCCGCGGATTTACAAGTATATTGAGAAATGGGTATGCTCCTGTGAAACCTGTCAGCGTGTGAAGCCCGCGCCTTCTTCACAAGCCCCATTGCGTCCGCTTCCGATTGCTACGGAAGCCTGGCGCTCGGTCAGCATGAATTTTATCTTTGGACTTACACCTGATGACAGAAACACACGGGCGTAATGGTATTAGTGGATCGATTCAGCAAAATGGTGCATTTTGCTCCGATCTCCGCCAACATTACGGCGGAGACGACGGCGAAGATCTTCATTGATCTTATCTTCAGGCATCACGGATTTCCAGAATGTGCTGTTTCGGATCGTGACCCGCGTTTCACTTCGGCTTTCTGGGCCGAATTATTCCAACTATTAGGCACGTGATTTCTTATGTCTACGGCGGCTCATCAAGAGACGGATGGGCAAACGGAG